CGATGCCGGCATCGAAGCGATGAAGGAGAGCATGGATGACTGTCACAACTGTTGCCCGGCTTATCTCTGTTGCCTGACAGTCAGGCAAACCCACCCGAAAGCCCAAAAGCTCCAAACACTTCAACCCGTCAACACAGACCATCCCAAATCATACACCACAAAACCTAAATATCAAGCTCTAAAGCCTTGAATATCCTCCAAATCCTGTCAGCCCCAACATAAACACTCAACTGTGATCAGGGTCCCGTACACTAAAAGGACGAAAGCCACTGAATCCTAAGCCAAGCTTCGTGGGCTCAGCGGAGCCATCCGGCTGCTGCAGGTATTCGATGGTCACCTACCCCCACTCGAAGCGGCTTTTCGGGTACAGCTAGGTTTTGCGGTGTAGGGTGGGGGTTTGGGCTTTACGGCTCAGGGCAACAGACCGCCAGTGCATAGGCCTTGAACTTAGTGCAAAATAGTCCAGAGTCGAATCAAACGCCTGAATCGAAATACTAGAACCGCAACCCGATTCAGGTCTTCTCGGGGTGGGGCTGAGGAAGTCCACGCATGATAAGACTAACACTGCCGAACGCGGACAACCCAATTTACAAGACTCTACATTCAAGCGCAGAGAACCCGGGCCCTGGACCCTGAACCCTCGAACCACTAGACCTCGAATTACCAAGACAGAAACTCGTCCAGAAGCACATGGCCCAAATCTTAAAACCCCGAAGCCCCTGTAGTCCGAGCGACCTGGCCGACCCAACCCCTAGACTTCCAAGCCTGGGTCTCGCTGCCCGGGCGGAGCCACCAGCACTCACCTCAGATCACAGGTCGCACTGCTACTGTATCTGGTCCCTCTTTGTGATCTTTTTTGGACCAGTTACTCTCTTTCTTTCGCAAGAATGAAGGGCACAGGTGCAACCCCTGCCCTCGCGCGCAAGGTGCCATCCGTATTATATGGGAAGCAGGAAGGCTGCAAACTTCATAACGAAAGCAAACTCGCCAGTGTGCATGAAGTACGCGGTCAGCGGCTAAATCCCTATACCTACTACCAAATAATCAATGAAGCCCGCTAATGTAAAAAGCGGAGATGTTCTGCTCAGACCTCAAAGCTGCTCTCCGAGCCAGCTACCAAGATCTCTCGAGGATCACTACGCGAAAAAGAGTCACTTCAAAGTATACGGATAAGAGAACCTGCAACTAAGAGAGAGAGAGAGAGAGGCCCGCGTTATGCGAAAGGCCCCATACTCTTTCTTTCAATAAGGTAGAAGGGGAGAGGAGCACCTCTCCCCCCGCACTCCCGGCACCGCCCCATATTATATGCATGGGAGAGTGAAAAGGCTAGCTAGTCTGTCTCTCTCTCTCTCTCTCTCGCTCTGTCTTTCTCCTTCGCTCGCTCTCATTTTCACTCGCAACTCAAAGGGTTTTTGTTGAGACAATTGGCTTCGGCATTACTCGTAGCGAAGGTGGCTCATGTCCTGAACCCGACTCAAACCTCGCTTACTAAACCTCTATATGCTATGGTTGAAGGGTTCAAAGCTACACCCAGGCAGAAGGAACACCGGCCGAGACGCCATTCTCCCGCACCTTCGTCAGCATATTGCACAGGCGCTCGGCAACCTGCTGTCATGCACTCTGCAAAGATCGCCGCCGATGGTCTTGTGATATTCTGATTCCCAGCTGCTACTGGTGGTGACATTGCTGACGGTGCTTGAGGATGGAACGAAGTCCTGGAGCTCCGTAGGAGAAGCCAAAACATCAAAGACGCAGCCAGGCCTCGGCGCTAGCAAGCTCGTCTTGCGCCTTGTGAGCCACAGACGGTCATGACATGAAGTCATAGGCCCGGCATGGACTTCAGACCCCTGAACCTATCGTACGCTGCTTTGAAAGGATGTGACCGTGTCCCCCACCTCCGCCCTGTCCCGCACCTCGGTGATAAGCTCTTCCTGGCGCTTGGACACCCCATGGGCCTCAACGTGTCAGGATGACACCGGGACTTCGAAGGGAACTGTCGCAGTACGCGCACACAAGCAAACAAACAAACAATCAAACACATGCGCAAGCTCACTCCTCACGACGTCGGCGAATGGAAATACCACAGCCAGGGGGAAGGCAACAAACATCACCGCCAACAAAAACACAACTTGCCACACAAACGCAATGTTAGGGGGCTGGGGGTTTGCCATGCCTATCGCCCAACTGGAGCTTCAAGTGCAAAGGCCTTGTAGCATCGTCTGATGGTACTCGTAAACAGCATGTCCGAGCTTTTGGCTGGAAAGTCTTAATAAGCCGGGCTATGGTTTCAAGCCTGCTGCTTTCTGCATTGCAGGCTCATGCTCGGGTCGCCGCTGTGGCTACAAACCCCTACAGTACCTTCGAAGCCCTGCAAGCCCCGCTACCATTCCTGATGCTACTACTAAGACGAAAACGACGAACTACAGCGAGTCTTACTTGACGGTCTGGGTCGTGGGCTGCTAGATTGCCCAGCAGCACGGCCGACGATGCGGCCTGGGAGCTGTAGTGCTTTTATCGCCTTTGGTTTCTGCTAGGGTTTTAGGACTGACAGGTTCCTACAATGAGTTGTTACATAAGGGGCAAGGGTCACGCAGTCTTTTCACAACAGTATGAAAAAACTCATGGGCACATCATACAGAGGTGGGAGAAGCCTTATGGCCCGGTTTTGTTGTGGTCTGCGCTTCCTGTGGAGGACAGGCTTGGATTGTAAACCCCAGTCTAGAAACTGTTGAGGACCTCACACAAGGGAGGTTCTGACGCAGCTGGCACCAAGCTGACGACTTCAACCGAGCACTGAACCCGTAAAGCCCAAGACCCTGAAGCTTTACAACAACACACTAAAACCCCTAGAGCTGAAGCCTTCACACATGTTTACAGCAACCCATTTAGGTATCCAAAGGCCACGCAAACTGCCAGGGCTGCTGGGGAGCAAAGCAAAGACTCTGTCTATAATGTTCCGCAAGGCTTCGTACTTACGTTTACTTAACTCGAAAATAGTATTAGGTGAACGAAGTCCAGGACCCGTGTCAACATGGCTACCCGATGCATTGTTTGGCAGCCTGCTGATCCTGCCTTGCCCGGGTGAAGTGCACTTGTGGCTGCTTGGCGATCAAATCGTATCTCCTATGTATGGGTCATAATCAGTAGGAAAACCTACAAGCGTGTTCGAGCAAGCAAAAGTCCGAAGCTTTCACACCGAGGGTTTGATATGCCACTTACTTCCTGCTTGACTACTGGACACCAGGAAGTTGCATGTGAGTTTGTCGCCATACGGCACAGCCCATATCAGTCTCATTTCAGACTTGATCACCACCCCGTGATTCCAATAATCCTGCTGGACGCTGGACTGACCTTTCACGTGTGTTCAACATCCTCGTAGTCACTACATTACAAGCATGACCATCATCATCGTGATCCGCTGTGCTGCAGGTCTTTCGGCCTCCAGAGCACCGCTGATGCCGCAGGCGTTCTGATTCCTTGACGCCACGGACACCACGTTTGCGGGAGGGGCCTCCACCTCAGGCTGTGATGATCATTGCTCCCATCACCAGTCTTGAGGAGCTACTACGATAACACAGTCTGACGACTACTGCGCACGCTGGTTGCATGCTGGTACAATCTGGCACAGCTTTGCGCTCATTTTGAAGTTCATCTCACCGTAAAATGACTTACGAGTAGTCGTGTAATAATACTGATTTTTCGACAACGATGCATCGCAATGCCAGTGGTTCCAGTGATGTTTTGCAAGGCAATCCAATGCAATGCAATGCAATGCAATCGAAGTGTTGTCATTGGTGGGATCTTGTTGCTTGCTGTTGTTGTTCCACGGCGGTACAACAGAATCCGAAACTGGCGGCTTTGTCGGCTTTGGGTGAGATGATCGTTTCAATTCGGGTCGCGGTTATGCTCCCTTCGAAATGGTGACAAATTGTATACTTGGTCCCTCGACGACAGAGACTCTACCTCTGTTGATTGATTTCGTTTGCTATTTTACTCGCTTGGATATGCCGCGCTGCCGCTGCATACACACATGTAAAACTCCGTGTGGTTGTGATGCTCGAAATGTTGATTTTGTTTCTTGCAATGAGCCATGGTCGTAGTGATAGTGGTAGAAGTACAGTAGTGTTGGAATACGGTAGGGGTAAGTCTTCTAAGCCCCCTCACTGCCAGCATCACTGCTTCCTAACCCTCACCAGCCCTGGAAAGAGCCTCAAATGCGCCGCTGCCGCCACTGCCGCCACAGGCACTGCGTGACCAGGCCTTGCCAACACCACAATATCTGCTTGAAAGCCAGCAGCGCGGTGGTGGTTATTGTTGACGGCATGTCTGCCCTTTCGATGCTGTTGATATGCCCACTGTACTCCTGTATACCAACATGTACGGACATGCACAAGTGGTTCTGGAGATTGATGCTGGCAAATAGCGATGACGCCTACTCAGTTAGAATTGCAGGGTCGTTGAACTTCTTGCGGTCCTGAGTTGCAGAGTGTAGCAGTCTTACAGAGATTCAAACGGCCTCTATGTGGAACAGAGTCACTAGAGTCAGTAGAACCGGTGCCTGCCCACTTCTATCAGTACCTGATCTAACTAACTCGTACATACGAAGATTATGTAAGGAAGCGTCACGGACCAGACCTACGAGGGCTTGCGGCTCTCTAACGCATTCAAGGTTATACCATGGGGTAACGACAGCTCGATTCTCGGATTACTCAGTAAGGGCTCGGATGCCAAGAATGTCACGATCCAGAATCGCTGATGCCGCAATAAGACCCGAGAAACATAGCAAATCATGGCCACTTGCATGTTTCAGGGTTTGGGGTGTTCGGAGGATCGCATTTCGGCTTCGGCAGGCCTGCACTTGCTAAACCCGAATCATCTGAGCAACGAATCGATGAGCTCAAGCACCGGAATCGATGTTACAGCGGCGAGTGATCTTGATTTCGGCCTAAGATGCCATCATCTCAGAAATCCCTCAACTGAAGCAAGGCAGGCTCAGCATGTCAGGCCTTCAAGCCCAAAGCTTTGGCGCAGTCTGCCCAAATGTCCTCCGTCTTGCGTGCAGGTCCCAAATTTGAATCCACCTGTGCCACCCGACAACACGAATGGGACTTGTAGTGCTCCAGCACAGGCGCCGTCTCGGCATGGTAGGCAGCCAACCTTTCGGGGAAAGCATCCGTAGTGTCGTCAGGGCGCTGCGACAAAGCTTCTCCGGTTTCATCGTCCCGCATGTTCGCCGGCGTGGGCTCGCTCTTGCCGTCAAAAGACTTCGGGGGATTGTACTTGGTGTGGTACACGCGGCCAGAAGCTTCGTGAATCCAGCGGGCTTCAACTGCATCCAGCACACTGAGCTCCAAGACGGACTTCACTTCCTCGCCGGTAGCTGCCAGCATCTCGTCCAATGCTGCGGCTTGGGCAATGGTGCGAGGAAACCCATCCAAGATGAACCCCTTCAGGCAATCCGCAGCTTTGACCCGCTCATTGATGATGGATATGAGGATGTCGTCGCTCACGAGCTGCCTTTCCACAACAGGCTGCACACTGTACAAGCTGCCCTCACAACTTGAAAACCTCATCAACCCCTTCCCCGCAACCCCCACACACACAAGAAGCCGTGCAAATTCCACATATGCCAAAATGGTTTCTGAACGGGCTTGCTGCACTCGTCGGCGTATTTTGAACCATTCACAAGAGTTAGCTGACAGTTAGCTGATTTAAGAACGGCTCAGAAGATTCATTAAAATGGACAGTGGCTCATGGATGTGTCTCAAGATTGTGGAGCCCTCGCATCTGACGAATTCCAGGCGGATAACACTTTGCTGCGCTCTGAACTCGACACCCGTGATTCAGTGCAAAGAAAAGGTAACTAGCCGAGCGGCCCTTGTTCCATGACCGACTTGACCCTCAAACCGATCTCCGTGCCAGAATCCACGGCTTCTTGCAGCATGTCTCCGGTAGAGAGCTGCGGAATTCCCAGGGACGCTGCTAGTCGTCCACCATGCGTGCCCTTGCTAGATGCTGGCGGCCCGAACATCAGGATAATCTGGTCACGCTTCAGGCCCAAAGCTTTGGCGCAGTCTGTCCAGATGTCCTCCGTCTTGCGTGCAGGTCCCATATTCGAATCCACCTGTGCCACCCGACAACACGAATGGGACTTGTCGTGCTCCGGCACAGGCGCCGTCTCGGCATGGTAGGCAGCCAGCCTTTCGGGGAGAGCATCCGTAGTGTCGTCAGGGCGCTGCGACAAAGCTTCTCCGGTTTCATCGTCCCGCATGTTCGCCGGCGTGGGCTCGCTCTTGCCGTCAAAAGACTTCGGGGGATTGTACTTGGTGTGGTACACGCGGCCAGAAGCTTCGTGAATCCACTTCCCACCGATGCCTGCAATCAGGGCTTCATCCCGCACACGAGGCTCCAAAACGGTCTTCACTTCCTCCCCCGTGGCTGCCAGCATCTCATCCAATGCTTTGGCTTGGGCCCTGAATCGCTTGCAAGGACACACACTTTTGTGAGTTTTGGCTGAAAACTTGACCATGCTTCGGTGACTCTCCTTGCCACAGTGTGGTCTGCCGAGTGCTTCCAATTTTTACCACATTCATAATAAGCTCATTCTCGTGCGTCGTGCCGCCGCCCGTCTCGGGCCCCGCGTCCCACGCCCCGCGTCCCACCCCCCGCGTCCCGCGCCCTGCGTCGCTTGTCCCGCGCTGCCTTGCCCCCCGCGTCCCGCCCCGCGCCCTGCATCCCGCGTCCTGCGTCCCCCGCGCCCCACGTCCCGCGTCCGGCGTCCCACATGTTTCCGCACCAAGCGGAAAAAACCGCAGCAGTTTATGCAGGCATGCACTACCAGCAGCAGCAGGAGGCAGCGTAAGTTCCCGCATGTTGCACTAGCAACAGCTACAGCAGTAGTAGCAGTCGTAGTAGTAGTAGTAGGAGGAGGAGGAGGAGTACTAATAATAATAATAACAATAACATAGTAGTAGTAGTAGTAGTAGTAGTAGCAGCAGCAGCAGGAATAGTAGTAGTAGTAGTAGTAGTAGTAGTAGTAGTAGTAGTAGTAGTAGTAGTAGTAGTAGTAGTAGTAGTAGTAGTAGTAGTAGTAGTAGGTTGTTGTTCATCAATAAAAACGGAAAACATACATAGATATTATGTATTATATATGATATATTATATTATATATGATATATTATATTATATATGGTATGTTATATTATACATGATATATTATATTATATATTACATATTATATAATATATATTATATATTATATATTATATATAATATATTATATATTATATATTATATATTATATATTATATAATAAATATTATATATTATGTATTATATACTATATGTTATATATTAAATATTATATTATATATATACGATCTATAATATATATAATATATATCTCTAATTATTAATTATATATTATTATTTATTTGTTATATATTTATTTTTATATATTATATATATATAATTTATATAATCTTATATATAATATATTAATATAGTATATTATATATTATATTATTCTTATATATTATATATTTATAATTAATATTTTATATCTTATTATATTTATATTATAATATAATTTATATCATTCTATAGTATATATTATTATTATGATATATAATTATGATAGTTATATAATGGATATTTATAATTTTTATACCAGGATATACTATATATAAATATATTATATTTGTATTTTTTTAATAAAATGTGGGGAGATGATATATATAGATGATACATAATATTGTTCATATTATATATGATTATATTGTAGTGATACCCTGATATATTATACATGATATATTATACATGATATATGATACATGATATATTATATATGATATATTATAGGTTATATGTTATAGATTATATATTATATGTTATATAATAGATATTATATATCATGTATTATATATTATACATTATATATTATATATTATATATTTTTTGACACTCACACTCATATATTATATATTATTTATTATATATTATATATTATATATTATATATTATATATTATATATTATATATTATATATTATATATTATATATTATATATTATATGTTATATATTATGTAATATATATTATATATGATATATGATATATGATATATGATATATTATATATTGTATATGATATATGATATATTATATATTATATATTATATATTATATGTTATATATGATATATGATATATGATATATTATATATTATATATTATATATTATATATTGTGAGTGCACATACCTGTGTCAGTGCACTTGTCTCTGCAGGGCTGCTTTGTTGTCAGTTGCATGTTGTACATAATTGAACGTTTGTTTATGCCAAACAAATGCTTTTGGCTCAAGTGGCTTGTTTTCCTATAGCGAAGTGTGCACGGTAGATTTGCGAGTAGGTGTAGCTTCGCGGCCCGCGGAGTTGCAACTCGCGGTCGCCGGCGTGCTTAGCAGGTAGGGGACTGGGTAGCGAGACGAGCTCGCGAAGCAAAAAGCCGCTGCGCGGTTGTGATTGTGGTTTACCTGCAAGTCCAACTAGCGCGCTTCACAATTGGGGGCTGTTCTGGGAAACCCCAGTCCCCGCGGCCCGTTGGTGGCGCGAGTTTGAGTGGCTCGCCCTCCGCGGTCCGCTTGGACGCGTGGGCTCTAGCCCGCGCTTGCGGCCCGTCGGCGGCGCGAGCTTGTGTAGCTCGCCCTTCGCGGTCCGCCCGGACGCGTGGGCTCGTGCTCACGCTTGTGGCTGTTGAGTGAGCGCGGCTGGGCCTGTGCTCTCTCACCTGCCTGCCGCCATGTCGGCGGAGGTGGCGGCAGGGACCGTCCCTTATCCCCGGCGTATGGGTTACGAAGTGGCGTAAGTCCACTGGGACGCGACCCCTTCGTAAGCGCGACGGTAGGTATACGTCGCCAGAAGTGGAAGCGGCCTTGTGGCGCTCCACAATGGCCTTCCTCTATGATAAGGAGGAAGATGATGAGGAGGAAGAGGAGGAGGAAGAAGAAGAAGATGAAGAGATCGATCCTCCTCAGGAGCCTCTCGGCGATGATGCCGGAGAAGGCCCGGAGCTCATCCCAGCTGGGGAAGGCTCCGCTCCTCCAGCGGCTCCCCTGCGGACCGTTGGAGCTGTCGCGGGTGGAGCGCTCACGGCCATGGCCATGGCCATGGCACTGGAGTGGTCGCGGCCGCCGCTGGCGCGCCACTCCTTGCGAGTCCGGCCCCATGAGCGACGGGCGGGACCGTCGGGTCCGCCGTCTACGGCTGGCTCGGTGCCTGGCACACCAGGAGCCGGTTGCGGATTACTTGAATCGCACGGCTCGTGTTGTCCTTGCGCTCCGCGCGCATGGAATCACCGTTTCGGAAAGTGAGCTAGGGATGCTCACGCTCCTGGCGGAGGATCTCGAGTTCGCCCAGGTCGGAGGTGATTGGCACCCGACCCGGATGGTGCGGCGCTTGCGGACTCGTTTCGCAGTCGCGGCGCTCAAAGGAAAGGATAGCGGCGAGGACGCCGCTGACGTCAACCACGAGATTCAAGCGATCGGCGAGCTCATTGTGGCCCTCGGCGGCAAGCAGAGCGCTAGCCTGCTTCCGCGGCAGCCGTGGCTCAGGCGGGAGCCACGCCCAAGGCGGCTGGGGCAGCGCCTCGGACCGCCCCTGCAGCGGTTAAGGCCGCAGCCCCTACTAAGGCGAACGTCGCGGCGGCCCTTGCCGGCGCCGACGGCCTTGACAAGGGCGACTCTCCGCTGCGTGCCAAGTTGGCAGCGCTGGAGATGGAGATCGAAGCCTTGAAGAGAGGCTCCGATGGTGGCGCGTCGGTGACCGACGGCGCTGGGCAGGCGGCGGTTGACCTTGTCGCTGCCCTTAAGAATTCGATCACCTCGGTAAAGACGGACCTTAACTGGCCGACTTTGACCGATGACAAGAGTGATTCGAAGGATGTCGTCCTCTTTTATGAGGAGTTTGAGGACGTGTGCGGCTTGGCGAACAACTGCCGCGGCATGTCTGCGCGGGAAAAGCTACGGGCGCTTCGCGCGCGGTGCAAAGGTTCGAGGGCCAAGACCTACACGAACGTGTACCGCGCAGCCTGGAAGTCCGGAGAGGTTATGTCGGACCCAGAAGCGGTGTACCTCCGCATCAAGAACAAGCACTTGATGTTCGGAGAGTCCCGCGAGGAGCGCGAAGTCAGGGTGGACAGTGAGCATGTCACCTTGACGAAGGGACGCCTCACAGGGCATCAGTTTGAGCCCCTGTTCGAGGCCTCCATAGCCGACTTGGAGTCGGTGGGGTTGGGCAAGACCCCTATAGGGAGCTTTACTTGTCTTGCCTTCACAAAATGCCGCCGCATTTGCAGAAGGAAATTCGTTCAGACAAGAGGCTCTGGCCGGGCGACTCGAAGGAAGTTGGCCTTCGCTCGCCGGCCACGTGGGAAGAGTCCCACAAGGTGGTTTTGGAGTACGAGCAACGCGAGGCGGCGCATCGCGCCGTCGCTCACTCCACTTACACCACCACCCCGGGTGGTGACCAGGCAGACTCTGCCAGGCGGTCTTGCCAGCCGACTGGGGCCAAAGGCTTTCAGCATCCAGATAGGGAGCGCGGGAGTCCAGACCGGCCCCGGAATAATGTGGAAAGCCGGCGGAGGACCACACCCTCGCCCTGAGCGGCCGGTTCTCGGCCCTCGACGAGCTGCCAGGCGAGCCAGGCGGCTACCAGTACCGGACAGTCGTCCAGGTACTGGGAAAGCGCGTCGAGTGCATGCGCTGCGCCGGCGCAAACGATGTGACCGAGGAGCTCTTGGTCGGCATGTTGAATCGTGCGGCTGAGCTCGGGATCGGTACTGAGGATCCCCGCTTTCCGGTGGTGAGGCTCGAGAAGTGGGTTCAGCCGGAGTTCGTCCATGGTATCGCGTCCGGAGCTCCCGTGCCTTTGAAGGGCGCGGCAGTCTTGCGCGTTACCTTGCTGGAGGGCAAGACGGCCGAGGCGTCCAAGCCTGGCCCCGAGATTTTTGTCCGTTGCAAAATCGCGGCCTGAGGGTCCAGCGATTGGCACGGCTTGATCCTCGGCGGCAGGGCCCTCGACTGCGCCAGCAGGATGGGCTTGGGGTTTAGGCGCGGGCCAGAGCACCACATCCTGGATACGCTTAGTATCAGGAACCCTCGTTGCGAGGACTTACGCCTTCGAGGCGCGCCTGTCCTCCCTTGACGGGAAGGGGTGCTTCGAGCCAGGAGGTTCCGACCGGGAACTCCTGAAGTACTCGAGGCGCTGGACCTCGCGCCCGGAGACGGCGTGCTCGTGCCCGTGGAACGGGACGTGCAGTCTAGCCAGGATGGCTCTCTCTCTGAGGCCGTCCTCCCAGTGGACTGCAGAGTCGAAGCGGTTCCCGGAACCTGGGCAACTGGTGCCCGGGAAGGCTTCGTCCTCCTTGCCGCACAGGAAGAGGACTGGACCCTCGAGCCTGGCGATGTCGTCGCGGAGGTCCGATCCGGCCTCGTGGAGACCGCTGTTTGCGGTTGCGGGGTGGTAGAGACTGTGCTGCGATATAGGGGGTTGACCCTGAGGGTTGTGAGGCTTGCGGCACTGCCAAGCCCCCCGAGGTCGCGGAGGAGTGTTTCGCGTGCGGCTCGTCCAAGCGCGCCGCGGTTGGGAGCTACCAGGGGTGTAGCACCTGCTCGCGGACTGCAGGCCGGCGTGGCGCGAGTTCCCGCGTCGGGATCCTGGCCCTCCTCGCGGCTACTTCCGCGGTCTTCAGCGGCGGCTCCTTTGAGCGGCGGTCGGTGACCTTGCCTCGGTGCGGCAGGAGGCCGCGCGCCGAGGACCTGGCGGCGCCTGGTGCGGACGACCGTCCCTATACGAGACCTGCCTTCTCCAAATATGCAAGCGAGCACAATCCAGCCAGGAGCCGCAACGAGGCATTTCCAGTACTAAAGTTGTACTACAAGCGAGCACAATCCAGCCAGGAGCCGAAACGAGGCATTGCGAGGAGAGGATTTTAGTCGCGGGAGATTCTTCCCGAGAGCAGGACCCCTTTAGCGCATGATCCAACAAGAGCCCTCCAAGAGCCTCGGAGAGCCCTCAGAGGAGAGGATTCTAGTCGCGGGAGACTCTTCCCGAGAGCAGGACCCCTTTAGCGCGCGCATGATCTAATAAGAGCCCTCCAAGAGCCTCCGACAGCCCTCGGGGGAGAGGATTTGAGTCGCGGGAGACTCTTCCTGAGTGTAGGACCTCTTCAGCGCGCGCCTGATCCCACAAGAACCCTCCAAGAGCCTCCGAGGACAGGATTTGAGTCGTGGAAGACTCTTCGTAAGTGCAGGACCCCTTTAGCGCGCGCATGATCCCACAAGAGCCCTCCAAGAGCCTCCGAAAGCCCTCGGAGGAAAGGATTCTAGTCGCGGAAGACTCTTCGTAAGTGTAGGAGACCCCTTTCGCGCGCATGATCCCACAAGAGCCCTCCAAGAGCCTCCGAGAGCCCTCGGAGGACAGGATTGGAGTCGCGGAAGACTCTTCGTAAGTGCAGGACCCCTTTAGCGCGCGCATGATCCAACAAGAGCCTTCCAAGAGCCTCCCAGACTCCTCGGCGGACAGGATTTTAGTCGCGGGAGATTCTTCCTAAGTGCAGGACCCATTGAGCGCGCGCATGATCCCATAAGAGCCCTCCAAGAGCCTCCGAGAGCCCTCGGAGAAGAGAATTTTAGTCGCGGAAGAGTCTCCGTAAGTGCAAGACCCGTTGAACGCGCGCATGATCCCTTAAGAGCCCTTCAAGAGTCTCCCAGAGTCCTCGGGGGACAGGATGTTAGTCGCGGGAGACTCTTCCTAAGTGCAGGACCCCTTTGGCGAGCGCCTGATCCCACAAGAGCCCTCCAAGAGAATCCGAGAGCGCTTCGAGGACAGGATTTTAGTCGCGGAAGACTCTTCGTAAGTGCAGGACCCCTTTAGCGCGCGCATGATCCCACAAGAGCCCTCCAAGAGCCTCCGAGGACAGGATTTGAGTCGTAGAAGACTCTTCGTAAGTGCAGGACCCCTTTAGCGCGCGCATGATCCCACAAGAGCCCTCCAAGAGCCTCCGAAAGCCCTCGGAGGAAAGGATTCTAGTCGTGGAAGACTCTTCGTAAGTGTAGGACCCCTTTAGCGCGCGCATGATCCCACAAGAGCCCTCCAAGAGCCTCCGAAAGCCTTCGGAGGAAAGGATTGGAGTCGCGGAATACTCTTCGAGTGTAGGACCCCTTTAGCGCGCATGATCCCACAAGAGCCCTCCAAGAGCCTCCGAGAGCCCTCGGAGGACAGGATTGGAGTCGCGGAAGACTCTTCGTAAGTGCAGGACCCCTTTAGCGCGCATGATCCAACAAGAGCCTTCCAACAGCCTCCCAGACTCCTCGGGGGACAGGATTTTAGTCGCGGGAGATTCTTCCTAAGTGCAGGACCTATTGAGCGCGCGCATGATCCCATAAGAGCCCTCCAAGAGCCTCCGAGAGCCCTCGGAGAAGAGAATTTTAGTCGCGGAAGAGTCTCCGTAAGTGCAAGACCCGTTTAACGCGCGCATGATCCCTTAAGAGCCCTCCAAGAGTCTCCCAGAGTCCTCGGGGGACAGGATGTTAGTCGCGGGAGACTCTTCCTAAGTGCAGGACCCCTTTGGCGAGCACCTGATCCCACAAGAGCCTCCGAGAGCGCTTCGAGGACAGGATTTTAGTCGCGGAAGACTCTTCGTAAGTGCAGGACCCTTTTAGCGCGCGCTGATCCCACAAGAGCCCTCGGACAGGATTTGAGTCGCGGAAGACTCTTCGTAAGTGCAGGACCCCTTTAACGCGCGCCTGATCCAACAAGAGCCCTCCAAGAGCCTCCGAAAGCCCTCGGGGGAGAGGATTTGAGTCGCGGGAGGCTCTTCCTGAATGTAGGACCCCTTTAGCGCGCGCCTGATCCCACAAGAGCCCTCCAAGAGCCTCCGAGGACAGGATTTGAGTCGTGGAAGACTCTACGTAAATGCAGGACCCCTTTAGCGCGCATGATCCCGCAAGAGCCCTCCAAGAGCCTCCGAAAGCCCTCGGAGGAAAGGATTCTAGTCGCGGAAGACTGTTCGTAAGTGTAGGACCCCTTTAGCGCGCCCATGATCCCACAAGACCCCTCCAAGAGCCCTCGGAAGACAAGATTGGAGTCGCGGACGACTCTTCGTAAGTGCAGGACCCCTTTAGCGCGCATGATCCAACAAGAGCCCTCCAAGAGCCTCCGAGAGCCCTCGGAGGACAGGATTGGAGTCGCGGAAGACTCTTCGTAAGTGCAAGACCCCTTTAGCGTGCGCATGATCCCACAAGAGCCCTCCAAGAGACCTCCAAGAGCCTCCGAGAGCCCTCGGAGGAGAGGATTCGTTTGTGTTGTGGTGTGTGTTGTGGTGTGTCTTGTGGCGTGTGTTGTGTTGGGTGTGTGTGTGTGTGTTGTGTGTGTGTGTGTTGTGTGTGTTGTGTTGTGTGTGTTGTGTGTGTGTGTTGTGTTGTTGTGTGTGTGTGTGTGTGTTATGTGTGTGTTGTATGTGTGTTGTGTGTTGTGTATTGTGTGTTGTGTGTTGTATGTGTTGTTATTGGGTGTGTGGGGGGGGGGGTAGGGCGGTTGTTGGGCTGATATTCCCGGGCTGAGGTGGTGCAGGGCAAAAAAATAAAAACCCCAGAGTGGTGTGGGGAATAATGACGATATCGATACGAAAAATAATCCGACTATAGCAGTCATTATAGAGATATCAATCCAAATATATCCAAATGGTATATCGGATTGATGTATTTACTGACATGCCGTTTGTATTCATCCTGGACGTTTGACGTCAGCGCGAGAAGCCGACATGCCGTTGGTATTGGTTTTTACAGCACATCCTGCATTCGAAGTGGCGAAAGCGTCGGTGTAGTCGATAATTCGTGCAGGCGCATGCCGTTTGTATTGGTTTTATTGCACATCCTAGACGTTGGACGCAAAGCGCGCGAAGACTGGCTTTTGCATGTTTTTACAGTACTTCCTGGACGAAGACCGACACGCCGTTTGTATTGGTTTTAACAGGCGAAAACGTCGGTGTGGCCGATGTTTCGCGCGTGCGTGGGGGGGGGGTGGCTTGGGGGGGACGGGGGGTCGGGGGGAGGAGGTGTTTTCCATTGTTTTCCTGATGCAGTCAGGAAGGGGGGGGAGGGGGGTGGTTTTCCTAATGTATCCAAGTTTGCACCCAGATTTTGACAGATCCCGGTTCCACTACTATCTTAGATAGAAACGAAAGACTAGCTACGCCAGCTTTCGTGACTTTAGAACGGCACGTAGCTCGAATGCGCAAGATTCCCGGAGTACAAAAGCCTTGGGAAATTTGGGACTCCGCAGGGTCTGCGACCCTGCAAGCGCTACATGAAGCAGTAGTTTTTACCGCTTCGACCTGGGCCGTTCGGGGCGAAAAGTCTGGAGCCTATTGCAGCAGGACAGGTGCAGAACCACGTATGTCAAGTCGGGGCGAACTGCAAAAGATCGCTGACGCAACAAGCTTCGTCGAACACGTTTCTGTCCGGGTGCCGGGTAAGTGTTGGACCTGCGGCCACGCTCGACATGTCTACGCCTCTTTTTCAGCGCTGTCTCCAGGCGCGTGTGTTGCAGCGAAGGCCAAAGGACTCCACAGCATATTATTAGCCCGAGGAAGTTCCGTAGCCCGCCATGCTCGTCTTGGGAGCGGGAGACGTCTCTTGCCGCTGCAGCGGCGCAACATGCGGCCAGCATCAAAGCATGTGTAGCCGAGCTGGACCATCGCGTAAAACAAAAAGCGTTCTCAACCTAAAGCCCTCAGCCCACCCCGGCGGAAGACGTGAACAAAGCAGTCTCGTCTGATCCCCTTGTGGGAGCTACGTGCAACAAGAGGCCATAGAAACGCTGAGGGCGAGCTCGAAGGCAGCTATCAACTTGCAAATGTGGAGTCCAAAGGAATGCTGACATGACCGGTCCACCATGGTTCTGGGTCGAACGCTTAAACAGCAAGCATGGAACACCCGATCTCGAAGCGGTGAACTCCCATTCCTGGATCCCCGCACGAAAGCATGTCCGAAAAGCGATTACTTTGAAGCACTTTGAACTTGGAAGGTGCCAAAAATCCAACCGTCTAAACAGCAAAGTTGCCCGTGATGCGCTCGAGCGAGGGCCCACTTCGAAGCCGTGCCGACTACATGAGCCATAATCAAAACTCCTTCCTGAAAGGAACCTGGCTTTGAAAACTCCTGCCTCATCAAAATCAAGGAGTGTAGATTATGGCTCACATTGGCAGCTCAGAATCTTCGTCCACTGACGGGATTGCGGCGAAGCGCCACTCCGTGATGTGGCGCTGCCGGCGCCGGAGCACCTTGCCCACAGATCAGGAAGAGTCTGGCAAGCTGCCCCGTTGGCTAGATTGCGGCTTGCGATCTAGAACGTGGCCTGACAAAAGACCCAGCGAAGTTTGCAGCAGGCTTTGGATTTCAGCTGTGGCTTTCCAGCTCAAGGCCGTTGCAGAAGGTTTCAGGAGTACAAGTGTGTGGAAGGTATAGACTAGCATCGAGAGTTAGCAACAACACCGATGTTAAAAGTGTTAGAGGTCGTGACACAATCTGCCACAACCGTATGGACACGGCATGATGCCTGCTTTGAATGTCTCTGCATGCTTTCGGCTTTGAGCAAGCTTGAATGATCTAAATAACCACGAACTTTGACAGTAGTCCTCATCGCAGGAGTGGGCCATTGCAAGCACACCCTGAATCCACTAGCAAATGTTCCTGGCCTTCTTCAGATCCTTTGGCAGTGTCACAGAGCGGCCATGGCCACTGGGGTATCCCAGGGTGCAGGTATCTGGCATCTTGCACGGAAGTTGTGTAGTAGGCCTTAGACTAAGCCTCTGGGCAGGAAGACTTAATCAGGTTTTGGGACGAAGTTCGGCCCTTACGGCATTGATCTTCCTTCTTGTATAGTGGAGCGCTTCAGCAATGAAGTGCCCATGTGGTCATGTTGCACCAGGGTCTGCATTGCATGATCAGTGACCCTACCATACAAAATTGTACCGACTGTTCACAGGACGCCTGGAGTCTAGGCATGCAGGGGATCCCGAACCCCAAGACAAAACAAACCACACTCTCAAGAAGAAGAAGAATGCCCGGCAGCAAGACATCTAATTTTCAGAAGCCCCGTATGGATCTGATCCAAATGTGCAAACCATCAGCCGTCGCCTGGCACTCGAGCATCTGTCAGAACCTGAAGGTTCAGGACTGGAATTTAATGGCTTTGGCCCCATGCAGGCCTACCAGGAAACTGCCCGGTTACCTTCGTCCTCATGTACAACGGAGCATTTGAAAGCTCAACCCCGTCCAAAAGATGCGCTGCATGTTGACTCCGTGCCGAATGCTAGCACATGATGACAGCGAAACCTCACAGCCTTGCATTCCGAACCACGCAAAAGCCTAGGAATCCTCCTTCATGATATGCAGAAATACCAACCATGCAGCAAATTCATTCTGGTATGGCCAAGCCCAACGAAATTGAATCCAGGACAGGCTGCAACCGGCGCTGCTGCTACTGCCGCTCCAGCCTCACGCCTTCGGATTGGATCGTTCACAGCATCTGTCAAGAGTATGGAAGGGATGCCAAAAAATGTGGATCCTATGCCGAATCGTATGCCAGAACAGAGGGAGTGGGCACGCCGCAGCTAAGCCTTTGCGGTTCAACAATCATTACCGTATAGAAAAATTATATAAAAGAAGTGAGGGAGGCCTCGCTGGCAGTGCCACCCATACGACGGCGCCTGCTTGGGGATTAGTGACCAGTGCCGACATCCGGACATGGCGGCGTCTAGAGCACGCGAGCCCCAAAAAGGAACAAGACATTATACCTGGCCGATGGCCAGAACTTCGGCAGGCACTACAGTATAGTCACGGTACAGATTGCACAGATACTCTTGCATGGACTCGCCGTCACTGGACCGTGCAGAACGAAACTATCTTTACAGCAACGTTTAAGAAGTCCAGGTAGCACGAGGTGACCATGCGGAGCTTGGTGTGTGACGACCCTGCACAGACAACTCCTGACATCAAACCATCTTGCATTGCGTGCCTGCTGTAGCACGTGGAGCCTGTCTGATGCAAGATCAGTTGTGCAAAGCCAGGAGCTACAGAATCTAGAGAGCAGGCTCACGCATCGATCAAACAGCCTGGCAGCGAGGCGTAGGAGGTGCCAGCTGGCGCACTACCTGCTACTTGCGATGGCAAGCATAGCGCACAAATACCCCGTATGCCGTATAGCTGTGCCTGGGACTTCGTTGACGAGCATCCGCGCCCACACACTTCTCACGTGCATCTTAGCTCTCTTGTTTCAATGAATCTTTCCCTTCGATTCCCAAGTCGGCTGGAAGGACTAGCCCAATGTCGGGCAAAGGTAGTTGGACGAGCCTTGACGTAGTGGGGGATTGCATCCCTCTCTGCAGCCTGCAACAAATTTTGCGAGGTTCATTGGGTCCACTGCATTCCCAACTAGGTCAGAAGCCAACAGGATCAGGCTCTGAAGCAAGGGTAGCCCACCCTGCACCAGCGCCTTCCACAGCAGCTTGCGTGTGGCCTGTTTCAGATGCACGTTCAAACATGCAAGCGCTGAACCAGGTTGGGTTGTCCAATTTTGTAAATGCCTCTGGGTCTTACAACCCAATGACATGGACGATGCTGTGGCTTCGTCCAGAAAGAGCAAGCCTCGGTATTTCTCATGCTGGAAATTAAAGAAGCTTGCATGCGGATCTGACAAGGGTGTCGGCATCCCGTAATTTTCCATGAGCGTGTATCTCAGCGAGTGAGAATAACGTGGTAGCAGTAGCAGCTGGCGACTGTCATTTCAAAACCATGCGGTGCCAGCCTGGAGGTAGCCCGGCGTGCCGGCACGAGGAGCCACCTGCAGCTTGACAAGAAGATTCTGCCAGGAAGACAGCTCCTACAAGCGATCGGGCAATGATCTCATAATGCAACGCGACGATTGTGTGAAGTGCAACCGTCTGGTCGAATGAATGGATAGTAGCATCACAGAAATAGTACATATGGGCTGTTTCGCTGCCCTGGGGATTAGCAGGGTGCCTAATTCAAGAGAGAGTGAATTTCAGGGAACAAGCCATGCAGAACCGAAAGGCACGCCCAGCCCGGTTGCGAAGTACAGCTGGAAGCATAGCGAGGGCAAAGCCAAGTAAAAATGCGAAGAGAACCGCCCGACCCGACCCAGAAACCCACACTCCAACCCTGAATCGGACCCATGGAACCTCAAAGGATGGCCCAGGAGCCTGCTGCACCCCGTGGCCGGGGACCAGCCGGGGAGGTTCAAGTACGTTTTGCTGCGTTTTGCTCCACAGCGTGCGGATTAAATATATGAAATTTCAGATGATCAGATGCATTCAGTCCCATTTGGAGGTTGTGATGCACAGCAGTTGCAGCGGGCACTAGCTTAGCATGCACATGTAGACGCGAATGATGGTGTGACACATGTGTAAGTTCCAAAGCCGACTGTCACTTGACCCCATTGACTGAAGAGTCCAAGCAGGTGCCACCGATGGCTAAAGCCGGCCTGGTAGCAGAGGGCTGGCGAAAGGCACAGCAGGCATTATGGCAGATGCAGTAAGTTGCTCAGAAAAACCTGCTTCTCGAACAGCCAAGCGTTGGCAGCTTCCTAGACAGGTAAAGAGGACTCAGGATCCTCGAGCTGGCAGCAACCTTTCTTTAAGCCAGCAGGTGCTCAACCCTGGCCTAAATCTGCACTCAAGGGCTATAGGCTAGCAACTTCGATGCCAGACTATTCCTGCAATCGCTAGCTGAGCAAGTCGCTTCAAGCATGTGCTGCCGATGCAGGCACCATCAACCGAAGTTTGGGTTGGAAACTCTCAGAGCTGTATACTAACGTTTGGATTCATTGACTTCTAGGACACAATCCCAAGACCCGTAAGGTGCAACTGGAACTGGATCCATAGTTCGTCCGAGCTGTCGCTCATTGTCTTTATTGCAACTGTGGAAAACTTCTAGACAATTACTAACCATGAGAACATCTTAGAATATCATTTTGGCCATGAGATTGATGCCTACACCAGGCGACCGCTGTTGTCGGGTCGGATACTTCAAGAATCACGACCATTTAGATTTTCAGCTCGGGCTAAATCTTTGGTCATGCCCTGGTCTGGCAGCAGCGTTGGCTGTCATCGGGGCTGGCACGGCTAACGGGTCGGACGGAGCTCCGTCCATGGACACCCAATCAAAGATACTCGCACCTCGGAAGCTCTGAGCAGGAAGGGATCGAGAACCACAGTGGCAGGAGGTAATGTCGGCCATCATCTGGCCCCAGGGGCTGCAGTTCCTCATGATGTGGCTGGCCGCGGCTGTCACCTGTGTCTCGACAGGGTTTCGCTGCTCGTCCACCACCTCGCTGTAGATCACAGCCTCTCCCACTACGTCGAAGATAAACATAAAGTGCATGGCTGAGGCAGCCGATAGAACGACACCTGCAAGGCACACCAAAGACTTGTCTCTCACGTAGTACTGGCTGCCTTCATCTGTGAACTGCTCTTGCGACAAAGTCGAAACAGAAGCAAACCAGGCAATCACACCAGCACATCCCACACCGGCTGCCTGAAAAAGCATGCATGAGGCTTTTAGAAGCATCACCTCATCTGATATCAACGCGTTGCGTTGCACTTCCGCAGCGTGCTCTGCACCCTCGAAATACTCAAAGGCTTGCAGGCTTACATCTTGCAACGCATTACGCTCGAGGTGCGCCACGGACTGCGAATACAGGTCAACGCAGCTTGAAAGGCATGAGTACACAAGCTCCGCCACGGCATTTTCAGCGTCTGCTGCTGACCTTAGCCTGCCCAGTGTGGCATGCAGTGGCCCCACCAAGACGAAGAACAACCCTGAGAGAATCATAGTTCCAAAATGATACCTCAAGCAGCTGTATAAGGCCCTTGGGGCATTGCACTGCTGAAGGGAGACTTTCCCCCCGGCGAAAAACCACACTTGCCCAACATAATAGTTGCAGTAATAAAAAACAGACGTGGTGGTACCATTGCACCAAAGGAAGAAGAGCACAGAAATGATCATATACATCCAAAAGTCTTCATGATTGTCAATTGGGGGAAACTTGTACCACTTGGAGGTCCAGGGGTTCTCGACTTCTGTCATTGTGTCGTGGACCTGGAAGCCATACAAGCACAGAAGCACGTAGAAAAGCCAGACCACCAAGCAAATCCGCACAGCCAGGACCCCGACGGGCAGGGCAGCTATGATAGGACCTGACAGAATGCAAGAGCATGCCATCTCCAAGGTGCGCCCGACCATATCCAGATCTGAGTGCAAATTGTTCATGGTCCGCAGGAGGAAGAAGCCACAAATGCCAGCACCGGCACATTTGAACAAGTCAGGCAAATGCCCGGCCCCCTGTCCCGTCCAAAGCTGGCAGCCTTCCTTGAAGCAGTAGCCATACACGCAAAACGTGGCTGCGGCAAAAAGCACAAGCACAGTCAGCGAGAGCCAAATCAAGGTGCGCGAGTACTTCGACAAGAGCATGAGATAGAAAAGCGAGAACAGAGTGGATGTGGAAACAGACACTGTTGAAACCTCTGGCCAGCCACTGTAATGGGCTGCCACGAAATAGCTTGTCGGCGGACCCTTGCTCACTGCAGTCCAGAAATCGTCGCTGAGACCCGTGGTGTATTCTCTGTGAGGCCTGCAGAAATACATCAATGGCTGCGTGGGGTAGTCGCGGATGGACTGCCACGCATGGATGTCGCTCGCCTCACCATTACCAGTATAGCAGCTTCTAGAGGTATTGGACGAATCCGGGCAATCCTTCACACAGATTGGATATCTAATCTCCAAACCCTTGCTTGCTTGCGACTCCTGCCTCAGACAAAAATAAAGAAACTTCATTCCTCGATACCTTCGCTTGCCGCAAATCTCGCCTTGGAAGTTGGGCGGTCTGAACATGATCGCGGGCCTGCCGACCCTGACAGCAATACGCGTGATCCAGCAGCACACCCCCAAGAGCATCAGGAAAGGACAAGTCCATGCAACGTTTGTGCATCTGCGTTGGACTGTCATGGGGGTCTTCCCCTTGTCTTTTGGATCTGATAGATTTCGCGGCAGAGCGGCGTCCAACACGTTGAAGCCATCCTCATCCTCTGACCCAATCTCGCCGGATACAGCAACTTCGGCGTCTGCAGGAGAAAGCTGCCGCATATTGATTGGACTGCAAACTCGAATCGGTGCTTGGAAAAGGCTTTGCATACATATTGCGATTGTAAGCCAGGAGAAACAATTCAACAAGAGGAACCGTTTTTAGCATGAAGATATCCTCCGAGCTCGGACGTGCTTATTGAGGAGCCGTCGCGGGTCACGTGGCTACCAACAGGAGACCCTGCATTTCGACTATGTCTTGGCGGTGTCGTCCTCTCTCTGGCGACATGATACGTCTTGTCCTGTGAACCTGGCACCCGGACGCCTTGACTTCTCTTCCCTCCCAGCGTTTCTCTGCCGTCCCCCGAACTTACGCGGCTCGGGCTCGCAGTTCCGGCCTTGAGACATCCTCGAAACCTTTCGACGGCCCCGCTGGTAACGTTACTCGCAAACAAGACGTTAAAGTCATCGTGCCTAGAGCCTAGTGTAAACACGCACAAACACAAAGACACACACACACACATGCATGCGTGCAAGTTTGGACGATGCTGCAGCTAATCCTTGCCTTTTCTTGGGGCACAGTGCCTTGGAACGGCAGCAAGTAGACGGCAATGCTGTGGGAATTTTGAATGCCGGTGAGGTTGGGACAGTATGAACAGTTTGCATCCCGACTGTATATGGAAATCTTTTCTTGATTGTGCAGGCACTTGCATTGACCCAACCCACGGCTGTGGGTGAAACGATGAGGTGTCATGGCCCACTTGCCAGCTAAAAGCGATATTGGAGCCAGACTCTCTAAGATTACTCACCCTTGCGGCGCAGTTCAGGCTAGGCAGAACAAATGTACAGCATTCGGTGCTGAAGGCAGTCGCCTAAGTCGCAATCATCTTCGTGCGTGTCCTTCACCTGTGCGCTTGCCAATGTCCATCCCTCTTCAAACACCTGAAAAGCACCAGCGTCATGAATTCCTGCTGCGCTAGCACAGGACAGTGCCGACACTCGAACGAATTGTTTCTCGAGGCAACCAAACTGTTGATGATAATGGGTGGCCTCTGCACGTACATCGGAACCAGTCTCTGGATCATAGCCTAGAATATATGACTAGCATGCGTGACGGCGTGACGTCGCAGGGAGGTCAGCAGATGATTCGTTCGAGATCGGCGAAGCGCTGCCTGCCTTAAAAGACACAGTCACGGAAAATCTACACGCGCTCAGATGCGCTTTAGCTGCAATTTGCGGCTAGGCAATGACCTGTAACTAGTTCAAGAGTGGCAGCTGCAGGTCATCGTCAAATGATCCAATACTGAATACCATTTTTTCGGTGACTGTCGCGTGCATTCTGACACGAGGAGCTTCCTGCGTTCGTTAACGCTCAATACTCTGCCCACCTGAACTTGCAAAGATGGGAGTCCTCGAATAAAGTCCCCATGAACACGGCTTGCTCTTGTAATGCGTGTGTAGTGTATTGCGTGCAGCCACATCTAACCCCATTACAAGGAAGCTTTGGCTCTTAGCGCGGGGCTCGCTGGGCACCCGGGCACCCTGAGCGCAGACTCCGTTTCCAGCGTGTACATCAAAGTGATCAACTGGCCTCAGGCCTCAGAGTACACCGTTTCGCTGTCCAGCAGGAGGAAGCGAATCCAAGGCCATTCGCCTCAAAGGACGCGTCAGCTGGGTTTCAAGACAGGTCTTTCACAAGCTCCTCTGTTCTGCGGTCGCTTAGAAGCAAACGGGTTACCGGGCGCCTGCCCTGTGGAAACGGGCCTGGCCCGGGCAAAGAAAAACAGCCCGGCGAAGGCCAACGAAGGAGCATCTCTCCTAAGTCCTAGGTCCTAGCCTGGCCCTCAAGCCAGCAGCTGCCTCGGAACGGCGGCCTGCCGCTTCAGGCTACCGGCTGAAGTCTCTCCGGCAACGCAGTGCCGAGAACCTGATGCCGTGATGGAGCGAGGCTTGCCCCCGGGACCGCGTGGACCGCACCTTGCTTCGGGACACAGTGACGCCGGACACAGAGGCTCAGTTCTTTCACATCTAGAGGCATCCTGAGAGTGGAACTCTGGAAGCCTTAAACCATGTTGCGGCCTCAGGCTGGCATGGGGATTGCAAGCCTAGAGCATGATACCATGATGTAACAACAAGACAACGACAAGCACCGGATTCTCGTACGGGAAAGGGCTTTGCTGCCCGTTGAGACCGCGGGTAAATAGCAAACTGCTGCCGTCAGAAATCGGATCTCAGCCTTCTGCATAGGGAATGTCGGAGAAGATGGTTTCTTGGAGTCCTGGAGTCGTCCGTTCACCTGTTGGCACACCCGGAGATCTCGGGAGATGCGCGGGCTGGCGCATGGTCCCTCCTCCAATCGTGCTCCCCGTCGAGGACCACCTGTATCAGCTGGGTGATGAAGGCACAGCATAGAAGCATCGCTATGCATCGCCTCCAAACAGCGAGGTAAGCACGCTGGTCCTCAGACTCGATGCAGTGGTCAAGGGCTAAACTTTGGAATTTGGATGGCGACATGGATTTAAGATGGTGCTGGTTCCAAACTATGGCTGTCCCACCTGTGTGACAGTGATAGGCGGGTCGCTTGTGACTTCTGTCGGGTGTCACCTGTGACTTCTCGAGAGGCGAGTCGCTTGTGACTTCTGCCGGGTGTCACCTGTGACTTCTCTAGCCAGCGAGTTTGCAACACCTCTCAGCAAAACTGCATGAAATCACTTGTGACTTCTCTAGCTTCGGATCGGGTTTCAATCTTGCATCTTCGACTTTCTCGCAAGGGTTCGCGGTTTGGGGTTAGGGTTCAGGGTTTACGGTCATGGGGTTGGGGTCTAGCCTCGGGGGTCAGGGTTTAGGGTTCACGCTTTAGGGTTTACTTTTTCAAGGCTTAGGTTCAGGGCAGCGGGCCCGAGTTCTCAAGGAAAAAATGCATGAATATTTTCCCTCGAAACTGCTCCGGGTCCTGAGGGTGAAGCATCAGGGTTTGGGGTAGTTCAGGGTGCTTTACGGCTTCGGGAGTTCAGGGTTGATTCGCCCGTTTAGGTTTAGGCTTGGGTTTACGGTTTAGGGTTTGGGGTGCAGGGTTTAGGGTTTGGGGTTCAGCATGTAGGGTTCAGGGTTAAGGGTTTAAGGGTTTAAGGGATTAGGGATTAAGGTTTAGGGTTTAGGGTGTAGGGTCTAGAGGTTAATGGTTTAAGGCTTCGGGTTCAGGGTTTAAGGCTTCGCGTTCAGGGATTAGGGATTAGGGTCGAGGGTTTAGGGTTGCGGGTGTAGGGTCTAGGGTTAAAGGTTCAGTATTTAGGGTTTAGGCTTGAGGGTTGAGGGTTTAGGGTTCAGGATGGGATCGAGGGTTCAGGGTTGAGGGTTCAGGGTTCAGGGTGCGCACCATGAAAGAGGATGGAGGGGAGGAGGTGGAAGAGGGAGGAGAAGGGGGAGGAGAGGGAGGGTCGCCGAGGCAACCAAAGATCCAAATCTGACGACACTGCAGCATTTTGTAGGGGAAGAGACTGAGAAGTCACAAGCGACACCGGCACAGAAGTCACAAGTGACACCCGATAGAAGTCACAAGCGACCCCTCTACCTGACATCGTTCGGTTGAAAGTTTCAAACATCGAGTGCATCCAACGCTGTCCTCCGCATCTGCGCCGTCTGGCTTTCTTTTGGCACAGGGCCCGCAGCCGTTGCCTGCGACGGCGCCTGGGAACCATCGTTAAGGCGAACCTGGGCTGGGAAAGTCGAACAGTCGGACCTGCGAACTGCAAAAACGAGACTACCCGTGGACGAGACCATCGCTAGTCTCTATGCAGCAGACTGCTGTCTGGAGGCTACAACAGCTGTGATGTCGTCCGACATCTGGCCGTCAGTGGCGATCTGCCACCGCTGGCGGGCAATTCCTGGCGCATCAACTACAACGCAAGTACATGCTACTTTGGCTTCCCTTGCATGACACAAGACGTCTTTGCCGGAAGACCACCCGGGTCTTCGAGAACAGCACAGAGAACGTCATGGTTCGGCAAGGTTTTGTAGCTTGGTTGGTGGTGGCCGATCTCATATCGATTGTCCTTAGCGCTTGCGCCGGGCCACGCCACGCCTAAAATCCGAAACGGGGCGGGATGGAAGACCAATCAGTCTAGTCAACAGGTCTTCCACCTTGCAGAGATCATTACAATCAACGGCTGTTCCTCCGCAGTGTTTCGAACATCTCCTTACACAGCTGCACTGCCGGCTAAGTCAAGCCACCATGAGTTCCTGATCTGCAGTCAGTCATCACGGAGGTGCCTGTGATTTCGCGCGCTGCGGCCTTGGGATCGTCAACTCTGCCAGCGATCTCCACTGCCTGCCATGTTGCTCCGAGGCACCATCAAAAAAGCGGCTCACAAACATGAGGGCTTCTGCCGACAGTGAACCCGCGGCGACAAGAGGCTTGCCACCAAACAAGTGCAACTGGTGCCACAGTGGCTCAATAAGTGGCTTAACAACGTCCTGCGTCAATTCAAATCTCGTGCCTACAAGCGCTTCAGCTGATTTTTGAAACTAGCAAAGACTGTCTGCCCTGGCGCTCCCAAGTCAGCCATACCATGTCGCGCCTCTTGGGAGGTCACGTGATCCCAAACGCCATCAGAAGCAAGTACGAGTACCTCCCACAGCTACAACTGAAATGCAAGGCTGAGTGCGGCATTCTGGCAGGATGCTTCAGTGACACGAAAACAGTAACATTTCACTCTTGCATCGCCTTATCCCTGCTGTCCAGCTTTCGCTCGACGACCTCCGGTTGTGAGCTGACCTTGGCTGGCTGCCGCGGCCTGTCTGACCCATCCTAGGCCGACCACAGCAGCGACGGCAATGACCTGCTGCAGCCTCGCGGCGTACGGGTGGAGCCTGCAATAGAGAAGAAGCACATTGCTGTCTTCATACATGCTGCCTGCATCTGTCTCACGAGTTTGTAAGCTAACGCCCATTGAAGGCCTCAAGTCGCCAAGGGAGCGAGACATCGCCAAGCCGCCCATGCCTCGGTCTGCGCACGAGAGCCACTGAGAATGATGGACTCTCGAGCGGTACCTTGCTTGTCCATGACGCGTTCTGGACCTGCGCGCAGGGGAACCCAGGAATCCACAAGGCAAGCGAGTCCCACGATTGTCCTGCACGTATCCATCTCACGCCGCCGCGCTGGACGATTGGGATGGCCATCTGATCTACCTGTGGCCACTCAAACCACTATGTAACCGACCAGGTAGTGCTTACTGGCACTCACTTTCCTGGAAAGCTACGAGCAAAACAGCAAGTAGGCGCAAATGTTCGCCTACTGCACAGGGCGCAACACTTGCTTCCTACATTTTCAGCCGTTTCAGGTTCACTTGCCAAGCCACAGTCCCACCAGCAGCAAGGATTCGTTGCCGCTCGTCAGGACGAGCCGGTTTCCTTTGTGGTCTCATAGATCATTGATCGTACGACCGGAATGGTCTTCGAGTGCAGAGCTCTCAAAACGGCTGGACTCTAACTTCTGTCTTGGGGGTGCAGCTGTCCAAGCAGCTTAGGCCTGCACTGGTCATTGGACAGGTCCACAGCAGACACTGTCTGCCGTGCCGGCGTGCTGCATCGACCCAGCACAGCTCGCGAGTCCCCCACCTAAGCCAGTGACAAGCTGGCCCTTGTCTGATCCACAAGGACACGTGCAAAGTGCGAGGTCCGAAAACCCTGCATCGACTCACAAATTGCGCATATTAGTGAACGTTGTTCCCGAATGCGCAGCAGAAGGGTTCTCGTTTGAAGGTTGCGGGTCTGGGGGTTAGGAGTTCACGGCGTTGGAATCGGGCAGGCTAAGGAGGATCTCCAAAGGACGCGCCTCCCCACGGCGGTCGAATCAGGCAAGCTGAGGGGGAACTCCACAGGTCCCGCAAGCGTCCGCGTGTCTCTGATTTCGCGCTGCTAACTGCTAAGGGGGAACCCCAAAGCGCGTCCCCACGGCGTTCGAATGGGGCAAGCTAAGGGGGAACTCCACAGGTCGCGTGGGGGAAGCGAGTATCGGGCGTGCAACTGCATTCGGGTTCGTGGTTCCTATCAGGTTTTTTGCTTGTCCGTGTGTTTAGTCAGACGTATTAGACAGTCTCATGTAACGTGAACTTACCTTACAAAGACTATGACCACACAAACCTCCAGAGCAATAAAGCACCGGCGACCCACAAGATCTGGCAGTCGCAAACCCGGCCTGTCTGAAGGGGCTGGAGAAAGCAACGGTGAGGACCCGATTCGCTCGATCAACAGGAGCGATAGCAAGGCAAGGGGCGTGCACTGGTTCCGGCACGATGCTCGTGCCCAGCATGCAGCACCGCAGTTGCACGTTGACGGGCGTGCGGCGAGATCTCGGATGCGTGGCACGAGGCTTGGGCGAGAGGTCGTGACATGTCCGCCCAGCAAGCCGTGCCGTCGCTTACTGGAAAACCACAACTTCCACGACAGGCGGTCTCAGAACGTACAGCCCCTTTCCAGCTCTGATCAAGGGTGTTCGCAGTTGGCTCGGGGTAGGCAAGAAGGCCAACCCGTTGACCAAGCTCGTGTTTGCTCCGGCAACCAGCAGGCAAGCGGAGGCTGTAACCATGGCGGTCTCGTAGCATCCTGTGCGCGGTGTATGTAATTACCTTCGACTTGCCACCCCTTGGCAGCTAAAAGACATGGGGTTGCAGCTGATTACACCACACAGGAGGCGGTGGTCCTCCCGTTTTTTTTGCGGATGGTGCCCCTGTCCTGTGATATAGCTCCGCTCTGGTGCAGCATGTGCAGAATTATTGACCCGACCCCTGCCGTTAATGTGGGTTCTGCTGCGGCGCGAACATGCGCGAACCGCCCGCAAGCTCCTCCCTGCGAGAACAAAGACAATCATGCAGATCACGACTACATTTGACTGCATGTCAGCTGCCGTCGCCATGTTAGATTCGGAGTTGTCCCGCATGTCGAAAACTTGTGAGGGTAAGAGGAACGCGACACCAACAGTTCCAATCCCTGCAACTATTGGCATTTTGACATGGTGGCGACGATCCCATCCTCCACAACGACAGCTCGCCGGAGAGATGGTTGAGCGCCAAACTCGGCAGCTGGACGCGAGGCGGCCATGCATTTCTGGCCCAGTAAACATCGGCCGCTCGCTGCGAGAGTCAAAACCACGACTTTTTGGAGTGGCGCTGTCGCGTTTACCAAACTCGACTTGATCCCTGTGACAACCGACAACCTCTGACTGCCGCAGACAGCCCTAAGAGTGGACGTGGTACCGTGGATGATGATGGGGTAGGTGGGGGGGGGGGGGCAGGGTAGAGTTGCAGCCCGGGGCCCATATACTTACTTCTTGATGAAACGTGCCGCCGCGAGTTTACGCATTTGTGCAAGATACACCCAAAATTATGTGGCAGGAGAGGCGGCAGTAGTAGCAGCAAAACAATAGAAAGCAGTCGTCGTCGTCGTCGTCCGTCGTAGTAGTAGTAGTAGTAGTAGTAGTAGTAGTAGTAGTAGTAGTTGGTGTTGTTGTTGTAGCAGTAGGAGTAGGAGTATATAGGAGTAGCAGTAGGAGTAGGAGTAGGAGTAGCAGTAGCAGTAGCAGTAGAAGTAGTAGTAGTGGTGGTGGTGGTGGTGGTGGTGGTGGTGGTGGTAGTAGTGGTTTTTGTCACCCACATGGCACGCCTCTCACAGCTTCGCCGGGTAGTAGTGGTGGCAGCAGCACCAGCACTAGCGCTGGCGCTCGACCAAGCGCTAGCACGAGTAGGAGAAGTCGTCGTGGCAGCTCGTAACAGCTTAGTAAGCATCATCGCAGTGGTAGTAGCAGTCGCGTACGGCAAGTTGGCTGGTGTAAACACTTCCGCCTCGCCGGGGCACTGTGGAGCTTTCATGCAAGCTAATTTGGCTGTCCAGTGATCCTCCTTACAAACGTGGCCTGTGTTCCTGTAGATTAAAACCCAGATTGGGGAACAGCACTGCCTCTCTGAGCGTGGAACCGCCAAGCTGAGTGTGGTATGGTTGCTTGGTCCGCTTATGCTTGCCACTGCGCTGACTTCTGTGCTACGCAACTTTAGCTTCATTTGCAAGGCTTGGAGCTGAGGGCGTGCAACCGTCCTGCACCGTCTTGGCTTCGCACATTCGCCACCACCAAACGATTGCGGTGCCTCAGGAATTCGTGCAGAAACTACAGCGGCATTAGCTTGAAAAGAACAAAGACGGACTCGTGCTGACCACCCTCCATTGTGTTTTCAGGTTGCTGGTAAGCTGTAATGGCCGTCGTCCCAGACAGTTCTGCTTGATGACGATGCTCTTTCTCAATCTTCTCCTGGCACACGCTTGCTGTGATGTTCATCCCACAACGCCACACTATCCGGGCACGCAACCAGTCTCACCATGCGACTGGCAGTCTCCAAATTTGATCCTCTCGGGTCTGGGGCAACCCTAGCCCCAACAGGCACACCTGGGTGTCTCGGAACGCGGCCTGGCGAGGACTTGCTTCTGAAGATTGCCGGTGCATCCAACATCTTGTAAGCAATGAGAACCGAACTGGAAGATTGCGCATGCCTGTATCGCCGCCACAGGCTCTGTATGGAGATCTGTGTTGCTGAAGAGGCTCTTGCTGAGAGCCTTGGAAGCAGCGAGCTATCGATGGTCTGAGAGAGGCGCCGGGGCCAGTACCTTCTGCTTGATTCTGCCTGCCTCAAGCCAAGCCTCTGGCCTGCTTTGCAAAATGGGACATGCGCTTTCCCTGATCTCCGTGTCCGTCGAAAACCTCGGTATATCTCGAGATCAAAATGGTTAGAGTGCTCCGCCATTTATTACATCTCGAGAACGTTCTCAAGCCATTTTGACGGTAGCTTGTGAGAGTCGCGGCATCTACATTCATAGCTCGGTGCGTGGCACCCACGAAGCATTTGGTCCCATTTTCGCTGCAGGAGGTCACGAAAGCATCCTGATTGCACTGAACTTTAAGCTCTGAGCGACAAGCCAAACACCGGGAACCGGTTGTTGCAGATTGCTGCAGGGTCGGCTAGGGTTTCGGCGCTCACACTCGGACAATCCACACGAGGCATGTGGTTCGAGGTCTGATAAGTGAAACTGGCACTGATCGGGGCGTAGAAGTTGCGCAAGGGTTTGGCCCACAGGTCTTCAGGCCCACAGTGGCCTTTGGGAAACCAGAGCTTTTGGATCGAGAGCTTGCACCCTGCAGCTTTCCTTTCTCTCTGTCGGAGCAAGCCATGTCAACACAAACAGGCATAGCTCCTGGTTCTCATCTCCCTTGCCAAAATTGGGCACGCTCCAGGCTCCCACGACGGCCTTTGGGCCCGCAACATCTCCTGCGAGGAAAAACTCAATGCACAGTGTGCTCGGTTAGGCCCCCTTTAGACATCAAAGCAACTCGAGGGAATTCGTATCTTGTGTCGCTATGAATTAGGATCTCGCTGACATTAGCTAGATTCGCTGGCAGCTCCTTTGGGACGCAACGAAGCCGGTGTTGCGGGTGGACATGGAGCTGGGCCTCAGTACCAATTCCTATCCATTATGTAGGTCTGCGTCCACTCCATACAGTAGCCTCCTGGCTACAGGTTGTCTAAGCTCCTGGGAACCAAGCCATGGCTGCCTTCAGCATGGAACCTCAGATGCCGAACTCAGTGCAGTCGCTGTGCATCTCCCACACCTCCACCGGTGCACAAGTGCACAACCTTGACTCTGCCTCCGTCCCTATGAAACACTCGGTAGTCCATCTGCTATCAGGTGGCATGGCCGCAGCATTCTCTATGAGCGCAAGTTCTGTGCGCTCTTTTTCTGATTTGGGCAAAAGACAACAAGCGGCCACGTACTTCCAGAATGCCTGTCTGAGGTGTCACAGTCTCTGTCAAGCATTGGATGCTTGTTACGCAACATTTCACAACGTGTCGAGTGCCTTTGGTGCGGCTTCGTCCTGTGAGTCTCGAAGTTGCGCTCTTCGCAACGACTACACGGGCCGCTCAGGCTGTCTGCATCACTCGTTGTCGCTGTCCATGTTTGCATCCAGAGTAGCCGGGAATGTGTGCGAAATTCCGTGAGCAACGGCGCTGTTCAGCACTGTGGTATGTCGCTGATCTGGCAACGCTGACAAAGGATAGGTATGGTGAATGGCATGAAAGTCGACACAGTGATAACCTTCACTGTTGATGGAAACGCACGTTCCATATGCTCTGTTCCAGAACATGTCCTCGGAGGTGCATCATCATTTATTTGGGCGCCTTCAACACATAAAAAAAAGCTTTCCTGGCAGGCCAGGGAGCATCCAGAGTGTAGGAATGACGCGCTTCTACAATGGCTCCTACGCTACCGCGCGGGTTGGGACTATGGTTGTAGTGGCTGCAAAGGCAACGACGACGACTCGTGTACACATGCAGGGAGCAGCCACGCCACACAACCCTGCGGTGGCTAGAGATCAAGACAGGCTCCTGTGGATTCTTCCGTGCCGCTCAGCAACACCAGAACTTCTAAATAGGGCGACTCAATCCTCGGCTTGGCACTGCATCCAATTCTGATTCTCCAGTCGCCCTCCGGTAAAGCCCACGTCCATTTCATAATATGTAACCCCATGTTGACAGAGAAGCAGGTACTTCCGCACGTCATTCGGAGTCGGACTGCCAGTCCTCAGTCTTGCAACCGGGACGTGGCTGCATCAAATGTCACATGAATCGTACCGCAGAAGTCTCCTCTACTGTGTCGCGTGCGACTATCTCCTACAAACATGCAGAACTCGAAACGGCTCAATCGGAAGGCTCTTCAATACGAAGCACGTGCCGGCAGGCACATCTGGCGACAGCGGGCTTTCGTAATTGATTTTGTGGGAGACCATGGCAGGCAGACCTGTGGTCAGCAAAACGACGCAAGCATGAGCATGGCTTTCGTTGCTCAGTTGCCCCTTTGCTTCTTACAATGACTGTGCCCGTTCTGCTGAAACGGTCCAAGCCTAGGAAAATGATGCCATTGTGGATATCGGTGTCGGGCTCTTCCAGATGCACGGCGGCAAGCTCCACGCGGATTCCACGTGGCTGGCTTTCATCTCGATGATGCTGGACGCAATACACTTGCCTTAGATCCGTCTGGATGGCAAAGATCGAACTGAGGTTGCCTGCGCCAATGTGGCGACATCAGCAGTTCCCTGCCTGTACTACTGTAGAAGCCATTGCCTCCTTCCTCTAGCCCTGCCCAAAGCTGCTCGACAACATGCGTTCCTGCAGACCTGCAAGATCCTACAAGTCCCTTGATTCCTTGCCAAGTAGCATTGTCGCCTGAGACAATGGTCGCCAAGACCTTGCACTCAGGTGGGCGTGTTTTTTCAAGTGCACACAGTTTTATGAGTTGCTTCATTGCGAGTCTAGGGACATGTCGGCCACGCGAAAGCGAAGATATGCACAGCCCTCCTCTACCTCTAGCAATGCGGTGTCACTGAAAATCACCTCAGCCGTCACATCGGGAGGAACACAAAGAGGCAGTTTGTGAAGTTCTGCAATGCCGGACTCTCTTTGAGGCGAGGGGCAGTGTTTGCACGGGCATTCGCATTGGCCAGCTTTTGGAAAACTACTCCGATCACTGTGGCATCAAGCATCAACCCAACCACCGTCTGAACCACGATGAGGACCGCCTAGGCCCAGGCGATCGCAAGAAGTCGCAACCTCTCCTCCCTCCTTCTCTGGAAAGCTTATTCACATTCCCAGCAGCTGCTTCCCAGCAGTCTCCGAAGTTGGGGTCTGGAACGCCTTAGTTTAGAGCCCACCTCCGATGTGACTGGGCCCTTCCAAAAGGAACAGCTCTTAGCCACCTGTGGTCTTCATGCAGCATCGGGGCCATAGCCGATTGTCATCTGCGTTTCCACTGACAGATAAAATGCATCTCTGTAGGAGTCGAGGCCGATAGCGCAGACATCGCTGAACCAAATCCAGAAGAGAGCAAAGAAGGCGAAGCAGGCAAAGTACCTCAGCCAGAAGCAGACAACACGACACAACAAAGCCTGTGCTTGGCCGCTCTTGGAGCTCGGGCTCTGGCACCGTCAACGTCACCACGAAGAGTCCCGGAAAGGGGAGATGAATCACCTTTTCAAATTCTAGCGTCTGAAGCAGGGAAGGATCCTCTAGCGCGGGACGCGTAAAGCCCAACCAGCTGTGTGCTCGCAAAGAGACTGTATGAAAGAAGTCTAGGAGGAAAATGGTGCAAGTTCTCCTCGTCTGAACAACGTGGAAGACGCCCTGGCTTTGGAACTCCACGCCTTCCTTGTGCATGAGGGCGCGCCATTGAATGTCACTTGATCGGGGACCCGCGAGTCAAGATCTTAGGGCCCGTTTGACGTCGAGGGAGTGTCTGAACAATCGTGGTATCAGCAGCCTCTCTGCCGCAAGACTCTGGGGCGATGGGAACTAAATGGCACAAGTAACTCAGCGGAGGATCTCTGTCCAGGATGCGGTGCACTTGTCTTCTCCTCTGCTTCTTTCCGCTTGCAGGCTCAGGATCTCCATCCTCGTGGAAATGGTCCTCAGCACATAAACAAACGCACGACCGAAACGCGCACGTGTCTGGGTCCCGCCGTCCCGCCCTTCTTAGACCAGGCTCTGAGTCAGACTCATGCGAGTCGCTGGATGTCTCGGCCTCGACAGCTTGGAATCAATGAAGCATACTGCCATCTAGACAGAGCGGTTTAGGATCGTCGCAGCGCGAACCTGGCACCCTTTCAATCACTGCTGCCCTGCCTCTGCACACAACTTCGGCCTCCGCCGTCTCTTGAAGATGCCGCACGAGCATGGCATGCTGCGGACTAGACGAGCCCAGCACACGACCACTACATCGACTGGCACGTGCCGCGGAATGCTTCTCGACTGCTCAACATGTTGCGTGGTTCAGTCTGGTTCGACAAGTTGCCGGTTACAATGTTGTCTCGTCGCATCGCGCCGCATGTGTTGTGAATCGGACACTCGGTGGACTCGCCAATGATCTCACCAGGTATGAAGTTGTCTTGCGCTTGAGCTTGCGTCAGGCTGGAACAGACAGACAGAGCGACTGCAAAGTCAACTGCAGTTGGGGCGTTGGAAAGCCAGAGTTTCGAGGGTGGCTGACTGATTGCAAGCTCTCGTAGAGATCCTGCACCGTTCCAACGAAGCATTTTGTGACCCTCTCGAGAGAAAGAAAGCAATCGTGCTGCTTTTCTCTGCCTATCTCCCTTTCTCTCTTCCTTCCTTCCATCCGGATTAAGTCCGCAAGCTGACCCGGGCCCAGGCCCCCCCAATTCCCTCACAACGGTGGCAAGGGCTTTCCAAAAGTCAGTTAGGCAGGTAGAATGCGTCCGTCGCAGATCCCCCGACCCTTTACAGTATCGCGCTCATCCCGGCCTCGTCTCCGCACCCGCTACGCTTAGACCCTCGACGGACGCATTCCCCGCAAAGGACCTATGGACTATGGTTTGCCGTCGTCCCACTCTGCGAAACAGCAACAACTAAGTACAGGAGTGTGGCAACGTAACACCGCATGATCTCCGAAAGTAAGTGTGTTGTGATGGCGACGCTGCTGTAGGCATGGCCACCTGAGAAAGCAACACGGGAACACAACACCATATTCATCACGAGTACTGGTGGCTCCCCCGCTTAACATGACCTCTCGTTCAGAGTGTTTCAGTACGGTATTTGGGGGCCGGTTGGGATAGCAGTCGCAGCTGAAACAGCTGAGAGACTGTGTTTTGAGCTCATGGCATGCTGCACAGGATTCCAAGGAAAGTCAGTGCGTGTCGAAGCTAGGAGTTCAAAGGATGCATTCATGACCTGCCAGATCGGATGAAAAAACTGGCCGGACACAAATCTCTCTTATGACCCACACTCACAAGCAAATCACCTCAGGCATCCTTCCAGCAGGTCAAGTGAAATCCTGGGAAAGTTAAAATCAGCGGCGACGTCTTCTCTGGCTGCGCGCTGCCCGTCGTTTTCGACGTTGACGAGCGTGTACATGCCAGTGCATCAAAGCGGGAAGACGATGTTGCCAAAAAATGCTACTTGTTCATGCACGGCCCTGAAGCAATGTTGAGGGCAAGTCAAGACATTCCTTGGTATCACTTTGGACTTTGCACATATCGCTGTCTTGGCCTCAACCTTTACAGAACCTGTGGAATGGTAGATTTGATCTCAGGACCCACGAGCCTTCACACCACCACCGCCATTTCAGGCAAGGTTCAAATTCCAGCACTCTCCAGCCGCAGAATGGAATTCAGGTCCTAAGTTTCGCGTGAACAGGCTTGTCTTTGAGCGTCACTGTCAGTGTAGTCGTCTCCCTCTTGAGCACCCCACCATCGAGGTACCTTTGCGCGTCCTATGCTGTACTAGGATGACCCTGTAAGTTGATATGTGCTGACTGCAAAGTGCACTCGTTCCAAAAAGAAGCACATTATGGCATTGTTCATACTTTCGATGCGGATGGTAATCTGTCCCTTACTCTAACTTCCAGGGTCATCCGCAAACTTCCCACATCGAAGTCAGCGGGCTGCAATCTTCGGTGCGCACCTCAGTCCAATTGTCTCAACATCTGATTGCACCGACAAATCCGCCGTGCCTTTGGGCTCCATGCAAGAAAAGGCTAGAAGCAATGCACCAGCCATTGGCCATTCTTTTATCATTTTCCCCCTGCTGCTGTTAAAGTCCAACACGGAGCCGAGCAGCTGGTATGTGTAGTACTGAGACGGATCCTCAGTCTCCACGAGCAATACTAGTACACCCGTAGCTCCGGGCTTGCTGTTTTCGCATGTCTTCGCCAGCCGCTCTGAAGGGAAACACCTCGGGCTCCGGCGTAGCTCTGCTGAATTGTCAGGGCGGGCTCCTGGCAGGGTTTGTCTGTTTCGGTGCGCGCGGACAAGCCCCAAGTGACACGATTCCGATACCTGCAAATCTTGAAAAACCATGCATCAAAAAACTGTGAAAACAACGAGCCGATCCTGCCAAGTCGGGTTTGGCTGCACGTTCGGCTGCAAGTGCTGTGTATTCATCTGCACGTTGGGCTGCACGTTCGGCATTCTCACGCACTGCTGCATCGGGACGAAGTCCGGTGCCCTGCCACTCCAATGGACAAACGAAACTACGACACTATGAGTGTCGTTCGGGCATGCTTGTAATCTTTCTAGTGTTCTGCATCTTCTGCCTCGCGTGCATCTTGGACGGGGTCTCTGGGGTTGCCTTGGCTTCATCCAACACGAGTCCGGATGGGGAAACGAGGGTGCAGCATGGCCGTCCGTTGCTGCATGCTTTGTGCTGTAACGCAAATGCTCTTGCAGCTGATCGCAAGGACCTGAAGAAGATCGGCTTGAAAGCCGAATGCAGACCAAGGAACGTTCGGAGGAGGCGGCGCCAACCTTAGATATCATGTCGGGCCAGGATGCAGGGCCCGCGGCCAGACAAGCATGTTGATATTGCGCCAAGTTCGGACACCAACTGCTGCACTGCCTCTGAAGAACATTCGAAGGTTGTCGCCCTTGATCTTGGCGATCTGGTCCATGGGCCCGTCAGAAGAGGCAAGCTGCACATTGTAGCCTTGGCCACTGCAGGCTGCCAAGACACACGTGCACAGCGCGAGCTTGCGAACTGAGACCCCAGCGACCTGTGGACTTGTCCAGCAGCTGGATTGTGCCACGAAGCCCATTGAAAGCAGGGAATTTCTGCAGTCCTGGGTAGCAGAGTCAGAGAAGCCGTGCACAAACACAACCACCTGTCAAGTCTTGCCCCCGCAGCCTTCAATGATCACCTCGGTACCTGGAGCGAAGTCCTCGCAAAAGCAACAGAAAAGGACACTGCACCCAGCTCGCACTGGCGATTCTGCGCAGTCAATTGATTCCTTGATGCATCCCGTCCCTGACCCCCGCCCCCCTTTCTGTATCTCTTTCTCTTGCTTGCTTGCTGTGCGAGGGGGCGTCCCTGCTCCTGTGCATATGTCTCTGCCGCCTTGCCCTCGCAGGCTCAGCGATGCAGCTGCTGAATGCTGCACCGATGCACCACTGAGTCGTCCGAGCGACTCTCAGCCCTTCGGCCCGCCCATCCGAGTCGGTACTACTCGCGGTGTGTTCTGCATCCCGCTTCGCTGGATTCCCCGATCCCACCACGCTATGTGACCTCCAGGCCTCGTCCTCCCCCACTGTCTCCAACCGCGGGTTCCAGCTCTCTCTTTCTCGGGACTCGGGCCCTCCACTCTACCTATCTCCCCTATCTCTGTCACACCGTGTCATCCCGAAGCCCCACAGGCCTTGGCCTTGGTGATCTCGGGAACCTCTGGAATCGGTGCATTGGCAGGTTCGGCAGCAGGAGTCGTGGGGCCTGGCGCAATCAAAACGAAGGGCACGTCCGGTTCTGGCGACTTCTCGACGAGAGCTGGGGCAGCCAGGAATCCACCGCGGTGCTTGCCCCGGACTTAGCTACCTTAGACCCTCGAAGCTGATTCCTGCGTGACCGTCTTGTGGGATCTGGGCAGCTTCCTCCTGCAAGCACTGCCGAAACCTTAGCAGGAGAAGGGCGCATCTGCCAGTGGGGCGGTGTGCAGCAATGCACAGAGCTCACCCTGCATAATTGCGGTGTAGAGACATTCCATGAGGCATAGACTGGATGTTGCGCTGATCCACAACACCCTTCTCCTAGCACTCTCATGGCGCTCGGAACTTCAAGACACAGAGAAATGGCGTTGGACGCGTACCTTCAAACATCTTCCGTGTTAAATCTCTCCATCGACCAAGAAAATCTCACATGCAGTGGATGTGTGCAATCCCTGAAGATTGCAGAGCACGCCAGCGTGGAATCTGGGATGGAGCCAAGTGGAAGGATATCTAGTAGAAACGCTGGGCATAAGCATAGAAATGGAACCACAATGAGGATATTTATTAGATCAGCAACACCGTTTTCCGACTGCAGTCACATCTCCGGGCTACCTTCATACCCATTGCACTGCTGCGAAGCTAGCTTGACGGGCATCATCGAACAAAGAGAGTGGCCCCAAACCCCCAATGCAATGGTGCAACCCTGCCTCGATGTGGATGAAAGTGTTCCGCACCTGGTAAAGATTTGAAAGTAGTGCCGCAACTTCCTCGGCGGGAACGGCAAGGCATGCACGAAACATGCTCAATCAGCAGGCTTCAATCTGTGCAAAAGCTACAAATGCAGCATGAGGCGACGTAAGCCAAGGCTCTTCGAATAAGGCCCCACCAGAAATGCCCTCTGTCTTTTCCGGCGAGGCAGCTCCTGGCGCATCTATGGCTATGACTATGACATGGATCTATGAGAACAAGGATTGGGATTTCACAGCATGGTTTCATTCGCTGGCGCCTGAAACGGCGGTGGAATGATCTGAAGCACACTCTGCCTGCTGCAGCTCTTTGGGACCTTCCGTGTCTGCACAATAGGCTGGGCATAAGCGGCGTGAGCTATCGCACTCAACCTATCCGGCGTAACCTTGACAGCACGGCACACTTCCACAAACATCACTGCAAGCAAGCCGGAATCAGCCGGAATGCCGAATGCCGACTCTCGGCCTTCCTTTGCCAGGCCGGCTTTCAATGTTGCCGCGGTTTTGAACAGGTGCAATCTGCCTCGGTGAACGGCAAAGGCTGCGAGGCCTTGATGAAACAGCAATTTCCGACAGTGTAGGCTGCCTGATCGCAATGCGGCAAAAGTTCGTTCCTCACCAAAACCGTAGCTTTCGCACTTCATCTCTGGGTACTTCTCTGCGAGCTTCTTGGCCTGCCCGTCGTCTGAGCAGTCTGTGATATGCCTTTGCTTCCGTGACGCCACGCCGCCACGCGCCTGCTTGCGCTGCTCGGGATCCAAAGGCGGCAGCCGCAGCTCCTTGCAGCTCCTGGGCCGCTGGGCCGAGAGCCGAGGCGAGCTGAGGCGAGCTGAGGCGAGCTGAGGGCACGGAGCGCCGCTTTCTCTGCCGAGTGGCACATCCGCAAGGAAAGCCTCCAAAGCCTCGGCAGGACAAGGCCAGGGCGACTCCATCTCGCGCCCCAAGGTGAGATGGAGCCACGAGGATGGTGACCGAAACATTCGTTCTGATGCAGTGCTTGCGTCCTACATGTGCAATCAAAACCTTGTTCCAGGAGCAACATGGATGCTATCGAAGAGGCTTTCTCGATGTTGAAGGTCTCTGGCTCTGCATGCTCTGCCACATCGACCTAACGGTAACCAAAGCGAAACTCTCTGGCAGCACATCATCTGCACAGCCTGCGTCATTCCAGTCATTCCAGAGTCGGCTGGGAGCTGGCGGTTTCACTGACCAATATCCTCACATATCACATGAGCTCACGTGAATGCATGAAGTCGGCCCTGGATGCCGCGCAGTCCTGCGGGAGGATCGTCGCGTCCTGTCCGGATGTGTCCAAGCACATGCATGCAACTTTTCCACTGCGAGCCTTGATCCGCTGGTCTGCACTCAGGGCTCAAATGTCTGTACCACTTCGACCGCTCACTGGGTCTTTTGAATTCCTGATGAGCCAGTGGCAAGAATCAGGACCAACCCTGTTGATCCACATGGGGGCAGGCGTGACGATTGCATGCAAGTGATGGAGCCGCTGGTGCCCTCTTTGCTTGCACGAAGACTCAGCGATTGAGTACAAGGATCTGACGGCCGAAGCCTTCCACCCAGCACAGCGGCACATCGTAGAATATCGTAGACAGCTTCAAACCTTAGCCGCCTTAGCCCTTGCGAGTGGCTCAGGAAGACTCCCGCATCCTTGCGGACTGTCTTGGAATTGCCCTTGCTGCGCCAGCTACAGCGACGCCTGCGTCCTACCGTTGCCACGATATGTGAAAGACTAACGCAGCACCCACGCCACTGGTGGGCGTCAGGGCATCCTCAAGTGTCCGCGATCAGTAACCCGAAGCTAGTTGTGCCAGGGTCTTGGCCTGTGCCGGCCTAGCCCAGCTTTTCGACCAGATGGGCACAAACGAGGACCGTGGCTTCGAGCGCTGTGGCAAGGGCCGACTTGAATCACAAAGCCCTTCCATGCGAGCTACATACACTGGATCAACTGCGAAATCGCGGGCGCCCTCACTCAGCCCCGAAGGAAAAAATTATCGACGTGGCTCAGCTCTGAATCAAGTTGAGAGCGGATTCCATGGGCGTGATGGCCCCTGAGCTCTTCAAGTGCTTGAGATCGGCAGCCGACCACATGACAACCGCACACTGAGCGAAGCCAAGGCTCGAATTCGTGAACTCACAAGTCTACTGCACAGATAGTCCTCCGAAGATGCACATGCAATCGCACAGGCAGCCATTGCTTCCTCGCATGCCGAGGTGCCGTTTCAAATTCGGTGATCGAAATACGACTGTGAAGTTCAGCGAGCTGCGTACTTCACAGGAGGAGGAACCGGCGGAGGATACCTGTCCAGTCATCCAGCAGGGAGTCTCTCAGAAACCAGGCCATCAAAATGCTTGGAACGACTGATGACGATAGGCGATCGAAACGCGACTCCGACCGCGAGACACTGCTGCTCAAGCATGCTTGGCCCCAGAAATCCCGCAAATGAATCCCCTTGGTGAATCCTCTCGAAACCCAGCAAGCGAGCAAACTACGGACAAGTTGCACATGTGCTGGGTGCACATACGGGTCGTACTGGCAGTGAGGATCTCCCTCGGCTCTCGGGGCATGCAGGGGCTCACCCGTTTCCTTACACTCGTCCTGGTCTGTTGACCTACAGGCCCACACCGTGCCCACTGAAACTTCTCTTACAGATAGCTACCCTGTGGTCGCCAACCTTTACTGACATGCACCCGTTGCCAAGGCTCTGTGTACAAAGGAGGCACCGCATGGGGATCCTGCAAACTCAACGATGCCCGCAATTCAATTGCAACTGCACCTGCATTTCAACTCGAGCTGGCTACGGCTACTTTTCTTCGGCGTGGACAAGTTAGACGGACTCACGTGTTTTGACAGCATGTTCCGCTGCTTCTCCTGCCAGTTGGGCGGAATGTTTGTCAAGCCCATCTGCCGCATCGGCACGAAGTCGGGCGCCCTTGCCGTCGGAGAAATCTTCAGGATGTCTAGACTCTTGGTGTCACGCGCGGAGCCTCGCATGCATTGCTGACGGCGTCTCCACCTTGACCTTGGCTGCGCTTTGAAGCACACCACCTGACTCGGTTTGAGTCCGGATTCAAAGGGTGAGGGTTCCACACCAGTAGCGAAGAGTCGCAGCGTTCCGAGATATACCGAGTCCACGGCCGTGACGCTGGACTCCTCGGGTTTTTGAAACGGGAGCTATACCGGGGCACCGTCTGCACACAGGCGCAAGATGCCGAGGGTCGAATGGTGGAGGCGGCGGCACCAACCTCAAGCTGGCGCCGCTCGGCAGATTCGCATGCGAAACACAAATGCTTGCACCGAGCCGCATTCGAAGGTTGTCACCCCTGATCTTCGCGATCTGCTCGAGGGGCCCATCGGCAGAAGAGAGCTGCACATTGTAGCCTGCAATCGCGGGAGCCCCCCCCGCTGCCCCCTGGCGGCATGGCTCTCCACCTTCCGCACACTTCTGCACCTAACTGAGAAGCCGACGACCTGTGGTCTTGTCCAGCAGCTGAACTGTGCCGCGAAGCCCGTTGAAAGCCGGAAACTTCTGCAATCCTTGCGTGTGGTGCCATTGCTAACACTGCTTTCCTTCGAGTTGTGTCCCGGCCTTCGATGACCACCTCTGTCCCGGGAGCGAAGTCCTGGCACGCGGCCGCCAGAGACGCGAGTTTCTCGCTGCGCGGGCGCTGACCTTCGTGACCTCTGGAACCTCCGGAATGGAAGGTGTCACCGAAGTTGACTCCGGAACCGGGCCTGACCGAAGGCCGTCAAACAGCAACCACAAAAACGCAACAGACCCCGCAACAGCCCTCTACAGCATTCCACAACGGTGGCAGGCCCGGACGGACCTGTAGCACGGCCTGGCGCACTTTGCGTGGCCTCTTCTTGTAGGCGCTGCCGAAACCTTCAAGAAAAAGATCTACGGGCGAAAGCCGAGAAATGCACTTGCCCGACAAGCTTTGCGGCCGGGTTGCATGCCGTGAGGCATGGACTGGATGTTGCGCTGATCTGCCACGCCCTGCTCCTCCCACATGCCATCGATTGAGCGCAAGTGTGCCACATACCCACCCCCAGCCCTGCCTCAATGTGGATGAAAGTGTTCCTGACCTGGTAGAGGTTCGATGGCAGTGCCGCGACGTCCTGCCAGGTGACGTGGTTGCAACTCCTACTGCTCGCTTGCACCGCTCCTCAAAGACACCGCCGGAAGCGTCTTCTGCAGAGTCGGGTGAAGTTGCTCCTGGCCCAATGCAGGAACCGCGTGCGGCTTTGGGCAGAGGCCAGCAAGCATGCCTGAAACGGCTGTTGACTGATCCGAAGCAGACTCTGTTCGCGGCACTTCCCGCGAACCTGCCATCGCAGCATGCTCGGCATCGACGCATCATGCAACATGCAAGAAACACGCTTTTCTGCATGCCTTCCTTTGCCAGGCCGGTTTTCAGAGCTGCAGAGGACTTGAAGAGATGCAGCCTACCTTGCGACGGTCGCTAACACGAGGGCAGCGGAGCTTCGGTGCGTCTTGCGGTCGAAGCTCGTTCCTCGCCGAAGCCATAGCTCTCGCACTTGATCTCCGGATACTTCTCCGCCAGCTTCTTCGCCTGCCGGGCAGGCGTCTCACCTGGTGTTGTCCGGGGCGCCGCACCCGCCTGCTTGCGCTGCTCGGGATCCAGAGGCGGAAGCCGCAGCTCCTTGCAGCTCCTCCGCTGGGACAGAAAAAGGAGTGCCAACCCTGTCATCACCCGCTTTGCAGCAAGGCGGCACATCGGCAAGGAAAGACTCCAAAGCCTGAGATGTGCACTGAGAAACGGCACCAGTTGCAGCTTCGCTCACTTGGGTTCCCTTGTGTTTCGCAGATGCTGTGCAAATGGGTTGCAGCAGCCTGTTCTGCAGTACCTTTGCCAACACGTTGCAGGCTTTCGTTGCTGCAGGTGATGTTCCCCAGGATGTTGATCCAGTTGTAATGTGATCCAGAGGCCGAACTCCAAAACTTGAAAGAAACCCTGTCCTGTCAGCTGTCAGCGGGGTCCCACTACGGTGCGGAGGAAGTGGCTTCCTCGATGTTGAAAGTCGTCGGCTCGGCTGTGCCAGTTTGCTCTGGCGCATCGGCCTGTTGCAACCGGCGCCTACCACACCAGCCTACGGTAGCCTACGTGTCTGCGCAGGTGCCGGCATGTGATGGGCCTCTGTCATTACCAACTCGGCTCTGGAGTTGCTAGCTCGCTGACCCCAAAATCCTCGCAAGGCACACCGCAAGGTCCTCTCTAGCAACAGCAGCGGCTGGTTAGCTGGTTCTTTCGCAGCCTCCAGGGTGCCAGAGGAGCGTCGACTCGACCCTGCCAGGGTCCGTGCTCGAACGGAACACATGCTCGAACTCGGCAGCGGCACGAGAATTAATTTGGGATTTGTCTTGCTTTTCTTTTGGGTGTTTTGTTTTCTGTTTCCCGAGCAGCTGCAACCATGGCCAGTTGGACATTTTCCGTTCGAATCACGATTCTCACGCTTTTTCCGACTCCCCACATCCTGTGCTTTACAGCACATGGTGCAAATCTGGTCCCCGCGTTTTCATCTTTGCACAGGATGCCCGCTGCCATGTCTCCCACTGTGGTGCGGTGCATACTTATCGTCAGCTACAGCGGGTTCTATTTGCTTCAGGCGTGACTGACTGTAAGTCAAAGATAGGGACCACGGTTGCTTCTGGAATTCGTGAATCGCAGCAGTACTTGGGGTAAGCAATTGCGGGGTCTTCCTTCAGATGTGGGCCAGCTGGTTTAAGGCGCACACGGTCAAACGTCTGACGCGCACACGGCAAAGTGAAAATGTGCGTCTAAGGCGCACACGAGGTCCTGATTTGGTATGCAAAAACCGATGTATGCACACTTCACGCCACCAAAGCGGGGGAGGGTCCAGGGTAGGGTTGCCTGCGCAAAAAAAAACCACGTTCGCACTTCCGGCACGAAAACGGAAGGTCTAGGGTAGGGTTCGACACGCAGCAACTGATGAGTTCGTCTCTCACGGCACGGAACCGGAGGCTGTAGGGTAGGGTTTAGGTGCCTAGATATCGTAAATTCGCCCCCTCATTTGGCGAGCCCGCTGTATCACAGGTCTTAAACTCTTCAACCCGTCCCTCATCCAGATTGATTGCATATCTTAAACTCCCCCCCTCCTTTGACGATCCTCATCGCATATCGTAAACACGCCCTTCATTTGGTGGCCCAGGTGTCTTAAACTCGTCCCTGCTTTGGCGATCCCGAATCATCACACGTCTTAAACCCGCCCGCAGGCACATTTGGTTACGCGCTCCACGGCCCCCCCCCCCATCGCCCCCCGTCCATGGTCTTGGTCCACGGTTCCCTCTTCCGGTTCTGGGGTTTTGGGTCTAGCTTAAGCTTTTGGGTTTAGGGCTTTGGGTTAAAAGGTATAAGGCTTCGAGTCGACAAGGGCTTAGGGAGGGTTTGGGGTGTAGGTTCGCTAGGGTTGACAGTTTCTGTTCTGGTTTAGGTTTAGAGCCTGCTTTTAGGCGGGGTTTAGGGTGGGTTGTAGGGTTTGAAGCTTAGGCTAAGGTTAATAAAAGCAGGAGCAGGCGCTACTGCGCTACGTTATAGGATTTATGGCTTGCGTACGATGCTGGGTTTAGTCTGTTACGCCTGGCCGTCCCTAACGGCCCTCACCCGCACGCGCCAGCCCCCTCCGGCCTCCCCCCCGCACCCACCCCGTACCAGACCATGCCATTGGGCCGGGGGGGGTGGGAACGCCAGACGCCTGACCATAGATCTTAAACTCCCCCCCTCCTCGGGCGATTCCGATTCATCACATATCTTAAACACGACCCCCTTAGCCTCGCCCCTTGCTTTGGCGATGCCGACTCACCAAGCATCTTAAGCACGCCCCTCATTTTGGCGATCCAGGTTGATCAAGTGCCTTAAACATGCCCCCCTCCTTGGCGACCCGAGTCATCGCATATCTTAAACACGGCCCCCTCGTTGGGCGATCCTGCTTGATCGCATATCTCAGACTCGCCCCCTCCCCTGCCGATTCACCACATCTCCCCCCCCCCCCGAGGCGATCCCGATTCATCACATACCTTAAGCCTTAAGCACACCCCCTCGTTCGGCAAGCGATTCATCACGCATCTTAAACCCGCCCTCTCATTTGGCGATCCAGGTTGATCACGACGCTTAAATCATAGGAGCACATCACATGTCTCTTCCAAGCGGGCCGCTTCAGCATTGCAGGAAAAGTACAAGAAAACCATGGAACATGTCAAAAACATAGGCAAAGCTTGTAAAGGCTAAGAAAAGCTATAAAAAGCTATAAATAGCTAAAAAAGACTAATAATTTCCTGCAGTGACGTCTCGATTGGACCTGTGGCTTTGGGTTCAGGAGTTCAGGGTTTGGAGATAGTGGCGAGGGTTTTGGGATGAAGATAAAGGGTTCAGGGTGGCGGATTTCGGATGTATGATTGAAGGTTCTGTTTGGTGCTTTAGGGTTGGCAGTTAGTTGAGCGGGGGATTTTTCTTGGAATTATGTGGCATGCAGTGCGTTTTCCAATCCACTAGAAAAAGCTAGAACAAGCTAGAAAAAGCTAGATAAAGCTAGAAAAAACTAGAAAAAGCTAGATAAAGCTAGAAAAAGTTAGAAAAAGCTAGAAAAAGCTAGAAAAAGCTAGATTTTTCCTGATTTGGGGCCGGGGGCCCGGCTAAGGAATTTCCATTGAAAAGCTAGGCAAGGCTAGAAAAGGCTACAAAAAGCTTGGCATGCTTGAGCCACCTGAGGACCCAGTTTATCACATGTTCAGCGAAGGATTTTACCAGGATTTATTTAGCTCCTTTAATGGTGCCCCGGCTGCGAAGAAGCCTACTTAGAAGAAGCATTAGATGCGCCCCTAAGATTAAACCCGCCGCATCGTTTGGCGATCCAAGAAGCGAAAGCAAAAAAGCAGAAAGCAAAAGCCAGAACAAGCAGAAAAAGGACCAACAAACACAGACAGAAGGCAGAAAAAAGCGGCCGAAAAGCAGAAAAGCGGAGGTGCATAAGATCAAGGCATGAGAGCAGAGAAGCGGAGAAGCAAAAGCAAAAAGCAAGAACAAGCATCAAACGACAAGCAAACATAGGCAGAAGGCAGCAAGAACAGCGGAAAAGCAGAAAAGCGAAGCAGACAAGTAGAGAAGCGAAAAAGCAGACAGAAAACAACAAGCAAGCAAAAGCACAAACAAAGCGTAGAAAACCACCAAAGCAAATCAACGTAACGAACGAAACAAACAAAATAGACTTAAACAAAAAGGGCTCCCGAACTCGGCATGCACACGCCTGGCTCTGGTGTGCCACAGGCACTGGCCCTCAGGGCAACTGCTTGTGCCACTACCACCCCGTAGGGTCCGCGAAGTCCCTCTGGAGCCCAAGACGGCCCAGGAAAGCTAGCAAGAAGGAGCAGGATTGGGACACACATAACGCAGGCGGACTGCGCATCAAGCTTTCGAGTGGCTTTTCGGGAGAGCGTACCTCCACGACCTCCGGATGATCTCAAACATTTGCTCTAGCCTGAACCCTACACTAGGCTTGGTAGCCAAAGATGTCCTACACTTCGTGTCATGCCGATGGCAGCTGCAGTGCAACAATTATGCCTTGCATCAGGCCGCAACATATGACTTCGAGCCGGAGGACCGATTGCCCGGTACATTGAAACGGATGTACACTGCTCCCTGTACCCGTCTCGAACTAAAGATACTAGTACGGCATACACCTCGAAGGCAACTGCATGGTCAAACGGGAGGATCGAACACTTGGGCGGCTGCCACTACTTCAAAGGATCCGACCTACACAAGCACTACGCCCAAAGTGCACTCCAAACTATGTATGGCCCCACGAACAACACCATAAGGTCCCAAGCATTAATTACAAACACTGACCCTGCCCCAAGGTCGAAGCTGGTTGAGCTACCCGATGGGGTGGAAGCTATTGCTAGCTTGTCTTACACATGTAAACCTCGAAAGAGGGTCGGGGAGCAACATCGAGGAAGCTGTCGATTCCAAACTCTGACCTATCCTATCACTCCTTGCGAGCCCGACTGTTATCAGATCTCTGTACAGATCCGGACAAAGCAAAGTTTGCAGCTTTTGCAAAAATCAGTTCTCTTTACAGAATTTGGTCGGCTCTTCTTTTCGAGCTCGCTCTCTTCGGAAGTCATCTGCGCAGTCTCTTGAGCTCTGCTTTGGGCACGACCGCTTAGCCGCGGGCCTCACCGTGGCCTTCCTGACTCCGTCCACCGCTTTGCTGCGGACTGCGTCCCACGATGAAGATGATGCTCGGTTTCCGAGTTGCATTCAAACTGGTGTGTAAAAGTTTCTCCACCTGCATGAAGATAAAGGAAGCAGGGAAGGCAAAAGCCTGGGCAAGCGAGCAATTCATGGCAGTTGACTACACAAGTTTGTCCGTGGCGTGCCGACTTTGAAACATCGAAACAGCCAAGAATTGCCCCGTATGGAAGGCTCTATCAGCGCAAATGGAAGATGCGCGCCGCCTTCCAACAAATCGTCTTCACTTCTCGTCCACTGTGTGCTGCATCTGGACATACATCAAGCGCACGCATACACTGCTGCACTTGGCGTCCATGAGGTCCATCAGGCTCTGCTGAAGATTCCCTTCCCCCTGAGTTCGTAACAAAGCTTCGCATTTCTTGATTCCTAATGGCACAAGCACCACAAAGGCTGTACCGTGCTCAGCCTGAGCGCACAAGAGCAGTCAAGCAACCCAAGTGATCATTGGA